ACAAATACACAAAGGTGACTAAGTTGAACTTTTAATGATCATTTCGTCCTTGTACAGAGCACGCCTTCTACATGTTGTGAGTATTATGTCAAAATTCATTACCCAACTCCAACGGGTTCGAAAGTTAGAGTGAGGAAACAATTTTTTACTGAGGAACACTCGCATTCGTGGCTAAAATCGTTTTCAATCAACCAAATCATGTCCGCCAAACTTTCGAAGTAATGATTTCAACATAACCACTTTGAACTCTTGATGTTATAGCGTCCTTGTAAGTAGTAACCCTCAAGGAAATTATGATGGGAAACGCAAGCCCTTGAATATCGTAGCACTGTGAAATAGTTATATTCTTAATATGCAGGCGCTGCTGGAATGTTGCTACACAGAATGAAAAGTTCACAATGAGAAAAATTTCAATACATTTCAAGAAAACAAGTTCTTTTCTATATTTGCATCGGAATAGCTGTCACTCTCAGCTTTCCGAGGATTTATTCAAGATGAAACAAAACGGCCGATAAGAAATACAATTGTCCATAACAAATTAATGGAAAATAAAACTAATTTCAAAGTGAATTATTGGAAAGGGGTTACGTTAACATCGAAACAGATGCTAGCATTAAAGATGTTTTATACATTGACTGCACTGGATCATTGCAGCACACACATGCAAAGAAAAAAGAACGTATTCCTTCAGTTTTGATTACTAAATATACTAAAATAAAAAATATGTTAAATGAAAAAGCCCATTATGAAACACTGGCATTTATTGGCGGTTTACGAAGAATTTTTGTTTGTAGTGTTGAACCAATAGTTAGGTATAGCAATTATAGAAGTCTAGGGACATGCTTACTAGATCAAAATTATAAACTATTATATAAATGTGACAGTTGAACCCCTGATGTTGCCTGGCCTATCATAGTATCGATTGATGAGGATTTAAATATGAATTAACATTCATTCATATAGAAAAAAAAACAAAGTTCTGACCAACCTAAACAACGGCTTTAGATCAGACTATTCATGCGAAACCCTTGCTACTAGTTACAAAACGACGACACGTCATTCAATAAAGGAAAACAAATAGACATGTCAATACTGAATTACTCGAAGTACTTTGAAACACTACCTCACAAAAAAAACTTCTCCACAAGCTACATCAGTATTGCATCTGGAACAACCTCCACCAATGGATGACCTTCTTCTTTACAAACAGAAAAAATGAAAGTCGCACTAAAGGGAGAATTTTCAAAACGAATCAAGGTAGATCAAGGAGTACACATTATAGTTCCCCATATTTTTATCAGCCACATAAATGACCTTCCAGTTGCAGTAAAATCATCAGTCTGAACTTTTTTAGACAGTTGCTTACTATACAGAAAATAATAGCCAAAAAAGACCATATCAGCCTCCAATAAGACCTTTAAAACCTTGACAAATGGGTAAAAAATTTGGGAATGAAATTTAACTCAAAATATTGTATAATATGAACAAAATATCTAGTAAGTTCTAATCTACCAAATAAGTGGATATATACTAGAGGAGATAAACACCAACCCATACATCGGACCCAAATATCAGACGATTTAAAATGGAGAACACATATATCAAACACAAGCAAAAAAGCAATCTCAACCCTTGGTTCCTCAAACTACAATTTTGCTCAAAGGAATGCAGAAAAAACTTATGCAGAACCCTATTCTGATCAATTATTGAATATGGAGCTATTGGGACCCACACGCAAAAAAGAACGTCCAACTAAAAACTAGAAAGAATACAAAGAAGGGCGGTAAGATTTATCAGCAGAGACTATAAATAAAGATATGACGAACGATTCACAAAAATGATGAAAGAACTTTAGAACTTTCACATCTATACGGCAGACGGTTACAACAGATCCTGATATTTTTCTACTGTACATGTGTATTTCAATCGCCTTTTTCAAAATAAAAGGATAACAATTCTGACCTCCTGAAAGACTCGAAAAAAAAACGAGTTAAGCTAGACAACAGTATTTTTTGGTTTTTGAATTTAAAAAATCTCATACTGTCGTAGCGTTGGTTTAGTATTTTCAAATATTCGTTTTGTAGAAAAAAAATTAAAGGTCAATTTTCTTTTTAAGTTTCGCGCTTGTGTACCATTTAGCGAGCTTATCGCTCGCTTTTATGTACCAGTTTGAAATTATATATAAAAATAAGAAGATGTGGTGTGATTGCCAATGAGACAACTCTCAACAAGAGACCAAATGACACAGAAATTAACAACTATAGGTCACCGTACGGCCTTCAATAATGAGTAAATCCCACACCGCATAGTCAGCAATAAAAGGCCCCGAAATGACAATGTAAAACAATTCAAACGAGAATCGTCTATTAATTTTTAATTTAAACATTCCAGTGCAACTCATATAAGAGGTCATAAGATCGCTGTAGGGAAAAAAGTACCAAATCTGCATTTTATCAACTGACACAATTTGTTTCAATCCTTTCGTGTAAATCTTTGATGAACATTCCATTCATGAGTCTCGTGTAGACGAAACGCGAGTCTGGTGTACTAAATAGTATACCTGGTATCTTTGATGAATTTGAAAATTTCAAATGAGATACGATAAGCAAAGATTAAAATTAAAAACATGACCTTTACCATTGACCTCAACATCACATGCACAAATGATCAGAAAAGGGCGTCAACAAATTACTGCATAACATCAACCCAAATAAAGCCACAGACCCTGATGAACTATGTGGAAAGGTATTAAAGGAAATGAAAGATCATCTAGTCCTATCATCCCACTCATCTTCCAAAAGTCAAACAACACACATAAAATACCTACAGACTGGAAACATGCAAACGTCTGTCCTGTATTCAAAAAAGGATACAAACACAATGCCATAAATTACAGGCCCATTTCACTCACATGTATATTTTGCAAAAATAATGGAGCATATTATAGCTAGTCAAATAATGGAACACCTTGAAAAAAAACCAAAATATTATATGATCTACAACATGGCTTTCGATCTAAACGCTCATGTGAGACACAATTAATATCTTTTATACAGGACCTTGCAAGAGAAAACAATAACAACATACAAACTGATGACATTGTGATGGACTTTGCCAAAGCTTTTTACAAGTCCCCCACAAAAGGTTACTGTATAAATTAAAATACTACGGCATAGACAATAATACCTTGGAATGGATTGGTGATTTTTTGCATCAAAGTACACAGTCATGCTAGATGGAGAACAATCAGAAAAAATCGGGGTAACATCTGGAGTGCCACAGTCCTTGGCCCAATTTTATTCCTCATTTACATGAATGATTTCCCAGAACAACATAACACCTTACGGTTATTTGCCGGTGACAGCATCATCTATAGAAACATCAAAATCAAAGATGATGCTTCCAAATTACAACAGGACTTAGAATCAGCAGCACAATGGGAAAAAGACTGGTTAACGTCATTCCATCCAGAAAAATGCCCCATACTCAGAATTACACAAAAAAGAAACCAGTCAATCATGACTACATCCTCCATGGTCACACTCTACATACTGAAACAGCTACAAAATATTTAGGCATAATCATCCAATCAGATCTTAAATGGAATAAACATGTAGATAATATAACAGCAAATGAAAAACGACCGCTAAATTTTCTAAAACGTAACCTATAAAAGTATCTTCCAAACAAATAAAAGAAAGGGCATACATGTCATTAGTTAGACCTAAGCTTGAGTACAGCTCTTGTGTCTGGGACCCTCACAACAAAAATCAAATCAATCAAATTGAGATGGTCCAACGAAGAGCTGCCCGCTACACATGTAATAGATACCACAATACCAGCTCTGTCTCAAATATGCTCGAACACCTACAGTGGTCTACATTACAATTGAGACGAATACAAACAAGACTTGTGGTTTTCTTTAAAATTATACACCAACATTTAGCAATCTACCCTAAAGATTTTCTCATTACATCAGACAGCAGAACAAGACATAAACATACCAACCACTATAAACAAATTCAAACCAATAAAGATTCTTACAAATTCTCATTTTATCCGCACACAATAGTACAATGGAACCTACTTCCAACATCAGCAATCCTTTGTACAACAGTTGACGGCTGAGCAGATTTCTATATCTGCTCTTTCACAAATATTTAAACACTGCATACCATGTACATAGTTTTACCAAGAAATATACATAGGATAACAATTCACAGAATAAAAAAAAATCACTGTACATAATATATTTTATTTTATCTGTTCACCAATGTAACGTAATATTAAATTTATTTCTTTTAAATTGTACATAAGCCACGCATGTAACGGCACGTAATCGTCAATGTTGTGCCTGACTGAGTGCGGAAATACGAAGATAGAAAGATAGACATTTACGCTTTATAGTAAAATAATGAAGGGGAAATAACTCTTATTAGTTGTCGGCCAATATTATGGATATACCGAATTATGAAGAAAAATAGTGTTGTCAATAATTTTTGAGTTAGAAAGGAGATGCGATAACAAGAAAATCAAAAAGAATGTTAAGGGAGATACTACTCACATAGAAACGTATTCGGTTAAACAGTGCGAGTTTTAAAAACGCAGTAACTGTTTGACATGTTTGATATTATATACCAAATAACTTATAGACAAAATGTTGGGAAACAAAAGTTAATTCTGAGAAAAAGAAGTGACGGGAGAAGGGAAAAAAATATCAGAACTAAATCGAAAGATCTGACCACACCCACAACCAACGCCACCAAGCCCCCATAAGAATATTTTACGTCATTCAGAGAATTCAAACGCATTTAAAATAAAATTCAAAATTACACTAAATGACTAGTGTACTGCCCTTCATTGAATGGATTTGGTTCTAGATAAGTGACATAATTTAATTTCTTATCTAGTAGCTCTATATACACTTAGATAAAGCATATCACTTATAGTCTGATCGTAAACAGCTATAATGAAAACCTTTCCTATAATTTGTTTACTAGTTGTGATCGTTTTGGAAATAAATTATGGCGAAACAGCCAAGTGCTCAATAACTGCATCTTGTAAGTAAAGTTTATTTGTTTTGTATTTTGTCTCTTTCGACAGTGTTGTTTATAGATAAACTGAAGTTGATAATAGTCGGTTAAAGGTTAGAACTACCAAAGAAAGTTTCATACTCTAATACCTTTTCAAAGCTTATCGTCCTTGATATAATAGATATTAAGAACTAAACTTTAACCACAATAAAAGAGAATTTATTTAAGATCTACAATACCCTGGGAACTCAGCCAACTTATGTTGATATACTATAAACCAACTTATTTTCGTTCGAGGATACTTTATTTCTAGTCGACTTCGCGGCGATGTATTAAAATTATTCGTATTCGTGACGAGTCATTTTTGTCGAGCCTGCGACTTTTGTCGCAAAAGCGAGACATAGCGATCCTACATTCCGTCGTCGTCGGCGGCGGCGTCCACAAATATTCACTCTGTGGTTAAAGTTTTTCAAATTTTAATAACTTTCTTAAACTATCCTGTATTTCAACCAAACTTGGACAGAAGCTTGTTTATGATCATAAGATAGTATCCAGAAGTAAATTTTGTAAAAAAAAAAATCCTGTTTATCCGTATTTTACTCATATATGGACTTAGTTTTTCTGTCAGTTAACATAACATTCACTCTGTGGTTAAAGTATTTCAAATTTTAATAACTTTCTTAAAAGAGGGACGAAAGATACCAGAGGGACAGTCAAACTCATAGATCGAAAACAAACTGACAACGCCATGGCCAAAAATAAAAAGACAAACAGACAAATAATAGTACAGATGACACAACATAGAACTATCCTGGATTTGTACCACAGTTGGACAGAAGCTTGTTTGTGATCATAAGGAAGTATTCAAAAGTAAATTTTGTTAAAAAAAATCCTGTTTATCCGTATTTTACTTATAAATGGACTTAGTTTTTCTGCCAGTTAACTTTACATTCACTCAGTGGTTAAAGCTTTCAAAATTTTAATAACTTTCTTAAACTATCCTGGATTTGTATCAAACTTGGACAGAAGCTTGTTTATGAACAAAAGCTAGTATCTAGAAGGAAATTTTGTAAAATTTATTTCCTGTTTTTCCGTATATTACTTATAAATGGACATAGTTTTATTCCAGTTAACATTACGTACTGTCTGAAGTTAAAGTTTTTAAAACATTTGTTAGATTCATAAACCTTCTTGGATTTTTACCAAACTTGAACAGAACTTCTTACAATCAAAAGATAGTATCTAGAGGAAAATTTTTAATAATTTTTTCCCCATTTTTGTTGAGCCTGCGACTAACAGCAAAAGTAGGCGAGACACTGGGTTCCGCGGAACCCTTACTCCTTTTTGTACTCGCAAACGTCGCGAAAATAAGTTGGTAACAGTATATATATACAGACTGAGTTTTGAGGTATGTCTTGTTTCATTTTCTATTGTATTGCATCATTCGCATATCTATGAATTTCACCAAGTCAACATGGCGGCCCACTACTTAGACTCAGTTAGATACATCAACTGTTGACTTGACTAGTAGCCAACGGAAAAAAAAATGTGAATTAAAAATTGCAAATGTTTGGGTTAAGAATTTTAGGAATGTATCACATTTTTTCTAGAGATTATTTAGTAATAAATCATGTAAACCGTTGATATATTGAAATTTGTCGCTTTATCTTACAGTGGATAAAATAGAACAGCCACACACACGGCACAACTATCTTCGCTTTATTTTTTTTTTTAAATTACCGTATTTGTCCTGTTAGAAATCGCTAACGCTCGGGATAAAAATCGAATATAACGGCCCAGTTCATGTGAAGACCATTTTTAATAAATCTATGTCTTGCATAAATTGTTTCTTATTATAACATACACTCTAGTATCGTTGCTGAACTGGACCTACATTTTCCTTACCAAGGATGGCCCCCTTGAGATGGTTAAACAAATCTGAATTTGTCTCATCAGGGCCCTCAATGCTCTGTATGCTGTTTTTAAGGGCGTAGCTTCCCGCTCCTTTCAGAATTAAACCATAATTATGTTATTTCATTCAAGCGTATACAAAGCTGACACTTTCTTCCAATTATAAGCCTTGTGACTTCAACAAGGACACCGAACTGCCCTTTGGATTGCTTTGGGGAAGATTAGTTTCATCATTAGCTGTGTTATCCTCTTTAATTAGATAAAGAATTATTATTACTATTATTAGGTCTTTCCACTTTTCTGTGGAAAGACCTATTGGTTTTCTTCTGATTTTTTTTTTTTTTTTCTTCCGCCTAATTTTGTTCTTGCGATAAATATTTGTTTCGCAATATGTTTCTTAGATATTTGGTATATGATATCGAACAGTTTATGCGCCTTTGAAATTTACCCTGCGAAACCAAATAATTTTCTTTGTAGGAGTTATCTCCCCGAACACTGTTTTCCTTGTGCAAGCATCTCCTCCGTAACCGTAAAAGAAAGCGACAAATTTATTTTACCAAATTGCTCGTTATATCCTCAAGATGTTTTGTCCAATTTTGACCGAAGCGATACGTAAACTCCATATGAGAGTTGTTTCCCCTTCTGTATTTGACATAAGGGATATATAAATGTATAGCATGAATGGTAAGTGATAGAGACCTAAGGTATATTGATTTAAGTTCCTTGGTTCATTTAAATGAAATTGAGGCCAAGGTCAAAGGTCAAGGTCATATTCTAAATTTTGATTTTTCCTTGTTATTTGATCTCCTCTGTCACTTTTAAAAATACAAATTAAAGAACTAGTGCAAAATGTTTGCTTAATTGTGATTAAGATATGATACATTTGGTCTGAAACAATCCAATGATATCTTATATGAGTTATTGTCCCTGAAATGATTCAATTTAAGGTTAACTGATTATTACTCCAACTTGGTACATGATGAAGCCATAGGGTCTTTTGCAAATTGTTGGTTGACATATGACCTTGAAAAAAGTAAACCGGAAGTGACCTTGAGTGAACCGAAAGTAGTATTTTTTGCACTTATGGAAAAGTACCTAGAAACCATATATTTTTTGAATGATCATAGGTTAACCTATCATTTGAGACCGGAAGTGACATTTTATAAACCGGAAGTAGCATATTATCTTCCTTATTACAGGCATAAGTATATACAAACTATATATTTTTGGAATCAGTGTGAATAAAGCTATCATATGAGACCGGAAGTGACATTTTCTAAACCGGAAGTTGGCAATTATCTCCCTTATTTCAGGCAAAAGTATATAAAACCATTTATTTATTGTATCAGTATGAATAAATCTATAATTTGACGCTATTTATAACTTTGAGTAAACCAGAAGTAGCTTCCTATCAATTATTTAGAAAATTGATGTGGAAAGACCTTCAATTGTTCTTTGAACAATTGGTTTTTAATTATTATTATTATTATTATTATTATTTCATAACATTGATGTATGTGTACAACAACTATATAGTCAGGCTCGATCCCAAATAGCCTTTTTGTGCGAAAGTGACGTTAAGCAATCTATTGTCCAATCATTTTAGGTATCTTTAGCCTTCAAATAATTATTTGCTCATCTGCTGAGTAAAAAGATTTGTGAAGTTTCATGGAAATTACTGAATAGAAATAAAGATTTTCATAAGCGTATTAATTAAATGATGTGTTTTTTTTACAGCGTTTGAAACTGAATTTTGTACAATTAAACAAGAAATAGAAGCTGTGAAGCAGTTTGATTCTAGAATATCTAATACAGAACACGAACTGTTAACACTGAAACACAATGTTCAAGTAGAAACTGCTGAACTTAAAGAAAACCAAGACCTGATACAAAACTTACAGAAAAACATTTCTGATGCAGTAAGTACCGTCATGGTTCACAAAGATAGTAAGATTTTCTAACTTATACTAGTATTTAAGTTACAACTTAAACGAGCCATAAAATACAAATCAAGATATAACCATAAAGGAGAAAAATGATTAAAAAAAATGTATGGAAAAAGTTCAGAAAAGCAACTCTAAAATCGTATGATTTGAATGCGAACAACAGCTAAGTATTTATGAAATCACTTTCGACAGATACGATCGTAAACAAAAGTTTGGAAGCAAAATATATAAAACGTTTAAAAACATAAAACCAAAAGTACCTTAATAAAATAGCCTAGAACAGCTAAGATCATGCAAGGTCGACTTTGCCGGAAAGAGTTGCAAAATTAATTAAAAATCACGGTAGGTATACTTCCGGTTGGGAATGTATTTTTTTTTCTCGAGTGAATAGATCGGATATTTTCGTGTGTGTTCACGTTTATTCGAGTGAATATGCGGTAAAATATAAACAAACAAACTCCTTTTTACATCGGATGACCGTGAGGGCATTCCGGTGTATTGTTGTCGCCTAATACACGATGGAAAAAGTCGTGTTTTGAGTAAAATAGAAGGGAATTTTGAGTCGTTTGTGCTGAAAACGTGTTAATCATTTAAAGTAAATTGGGCAATCATGAATAAACTGATATACTTTCGAAATAAGAGTAAATCGATTTGATGTGATTTCACCTCGATAAGACCCAGTCAACACTAGAAAAAAGCGGGCCGATTCAGTTGGAAAAAACACAATCTAAAACGGAATCTGTACCTATTGTGATAATATACAAACTACACCGACGGTACCCCAAGGAACTAAGTCCATGACCAGCCCTACTTACCTAGGGTTAGCAAAAACACACAACATTATAAAAGAAAGAATTTTTATAATGAAAAAAAATTAAAACTCTGGACCATTACGAAACATATTTACAAAAATTGCCAAATGAGTTTTCATGGAAATTCATTTGCTCTATGATTTACAGAAGTAGGTATCGACAATGATATATAATACCCAACCTATATAGGCAAGAATATCAATGATCATTGTAGTCCCTAATAAAACCTCAATTTCTTGTAATTTCAGATATCTGTCGATAATATGTCAAAGAATACATCAGACTTAAATGATAAAATTGATAAATTGTTGAAAATGTTCAAAGATGTGCAAGATCGACTAGATCACTTAGAAGGTACACTAACATGTTAAACAAACTCATCATAGATACCAGGATGTAAATTTGTATTTGCGCCAGACGCGCGTTTCGTCTACATGACTCATCAGTGACGCTCGATTCAAAAAAAGTTAAACCATTCAGCATCTACCCATTAACCATAAAAAGACTATATGAGTAAATAACATACCATATGCAAATATATCCATAGAAACTGTTTAAAGAAAATCAAGAAAACATTTTACTTTAGATGTTTTGGAGGATAGTTGTATAAAATTACAAAATTCACTAGATAGATATTTTTTTGAATAAAATAAAAATGCAATTATCTGAATGAGATACTCGTCTCGTTGTATTACATTTTTGTATACTTTATTGTTTAATTAAAGAATACAGATCAGTATATGCATAAGAACCGATAAGATATATATGTAATACTTGCTTGCCTTTTACTTGTAGTGAAATGTAAAGTTTGTGGTAGCAACGGTAGTGTAAATCATCCATGCTCACAAAACCCTTGTGGTAACGGAGGTAAGGTTATACACTGGTATTAATCATATCAGGTTCAATTTTTTTTTGGTTTGAATCAGAGTGATGTTATCCCTTTCTAAGACAAGATACTTGTATCTACGTTGGCCATTCTTTTTCATGAAACAAAATAGGACTTATTCTTTCAATTCGTCTTTTAGTTTGGAAAGAGGAGTACTTGTGTAAAGGGTAGAAAAGTCAAATAATACTATTGCAAAAGGAAAGAGACTTAGATTGTATGTAATCTAACAGATTTTTCAAATTGTTAAGTATCAACATCTTGTCACGCCGCCCCTGGTAAAACCGGCAAACAATTCTTTTAAGCACAATAACTCCTATAAAGAGTCAATTGATGGTCTCAAGCACAACTGCTTTTTGTAGATCATTTATTGCTGACCATTTTTGCGTCTATCTATCATATGTTTCAAGACAATTGTCGGAATTTCTAAAATTTCATAAAAATCGTCAGCAAAGGGCAATTACTACCATAAGAAGCTGATTGATGTTTTCAGTCTGACTTGACATTTTCGTAGAATTTGTTTTTCTTATCATTCTCACTGTTTACAGTTTGTTTGCTTCTTTCTATCAATAATAGTTTTTAAGATTAAGTTCAAAAATGCTTTAATTGGCAAAATGTAGTCATTTAAGGACAATAATTTCTAAATAGAAAAACACAAGCAGTTTATGATAAATTACAAAAACATATCAAACAGTAAAACAGACCACACCAAACAACACCCGACTGATCAATTTTGCTGTGTGTATAAATAGATAGTTTGACTGGATTTAAAAGAGTTTTGATTAATATGTAAATTTAACAAAGGGCTAACATTCTATTGACTATATATTTGATAGGAAAGTGTTTAGAATTGGCGAAGGATTTCCAGTGTGTGTGCACTATCGGATTTATAGGAGAAAGATGCCAGTACACAGACCATTGCTCATCATCGCCTTGCAAAAATGGCGGTTCTTGCTCCTCTAATATCCTTGGTCATGTATGTAACTGCGCCATGGGGTTCACAGGACCATACTGTGAAGTTAAACTAAACGCATGCGACTCAAATCCCTGCAAACATGGAACTTGCTTCTTACACGGCAACTCCTTTAGTTGTCAGTGCGATCACGGATACGATGGTCCAACTTGTGAACATTCGACTGGACAACACCGAACATCGCTTTCGACAGCCAAAACAACAACAAAGACAACCATTCGACCACAAAGTACCATCAAGTATCCTGATCCGTGTGCTAAGGCTTCCGTTTGTAACGAACCAGCAAAATGTCAAGCCGTTGGTAATCAGGATTACATATGCGTTTGTCCAGATACTGTCCAGACTAACAGTGATAAATGTCTTGAGCCTTACTATTATGATCAGTTTGGATTTTGTTGCGCACGGAACATATGTAAAAATAATGAAATTGTATGCTAATAGTAAAACATAATCAATAAACATATAATATGTATAATTAATTGCTTCTACAACAATATATTCTATGACATGATATACTTAATATTTTTGCTTCTATGATGAGGGTATGGAAAACTATTAATCATGTATCCCATAGAACAATCAAATAAAAAATGCTAGAATCCAGAAGACTCAAATAGACGTTTACTGAAAACTCGCATATTATGGAAATCAACGTGGGGAAAAATACTCTGTTCATTTATTTTTTTCTAATATGGCGCATCCTTAACAAATTTCATATGGAAAGGGAGAAATCATTGTCACTGATACGTCTGTTTGTCTTCGCGCCAATAGATGTTAAACCAGTATAAAAAAATGTATGGTATCAAGGTCAATGAAATGTTATTTCTTAAAGCTTGATTAACAGGAAGATAACACTCTCATTATTGTGTTCCTCAAAAAAAAGTTTGTTACTTATTATGATTGGTATGATTGTTTTATTTTTTTTATTGAAGTGCGTTATGGTGAGCTGTTGTTTATAACTATAATGTTTGTTTTAGGCCAATTTACATTATTGGTACATTTTAGTGTGTTCGTATATAGATCCAAGGTGTACGTTTGTCACATCTAACGAATATGGAAGTTAGCTGTGCATTTGAGAGACAATATAGATTACTTGATTGGTTGTTGGTGTTAAACGTCTGACTATCAGCACGCTTGGAACACTCTTTTAGATCCACTGACCTTCGGTAGGAAAACTTGTCGAACGCACCTGCCACGTGCCTGGGTCGTTCTCTTAACTTCAGCGTTTACAAGCAACGAGACCCCGATAATTATAAAATAGTATAAAATACGGGCTCTAGATTCTACAAAAATAAAAATTTGAAAAAAAACTATGCTTCCTTTTGAGCAAAGCATGGAGACACGATTTATATTTTAGTCAGATTGCTCTCCCATAGTCACAGGATTAATTGACAGCTTATAGCAACAGTTGAATTGCCTATATAAAGAAAGTCGATACCAACAGGACAATAACGTTCTTTGTTAAGGAATGAAAGACAACAGCATGAAAAAAAAAAAACGAAAAGCAAAATCAAGTTCACTAGTTTTGATTCGACAAAAGGAACAGATTTATGATCAGATATAACTTATATATTCTGCAGCGGTCAACAAAGTCATGATGGTGTCAATAGTTATTTTTAAGAGATAAAAGTCTAATGAAAGATTAACAAAACAAATACTGAATAAGTTTTTGCAAAAGTTACACACATATTCTAACAGATCCAATGGTGTCTAAAATATAAAACATCGTTCAACTTCAAAAGGTAAAAAGCAGCAGTCAAAAAATGGCTGAAACTGAAACCGGTAAGAGGATTGAGATAAGAAAATTGATAGATTTCTTGATTTGCATATACTTTCTATTGTGTTACCAACTCATGTTTTGAGAGTCAGTTGTCTCTATGGCAATCATACAACATACTCTTGTTTTTATATTAATGGGGTAAAAAATCGTTTTGACATATCGAACTTTGAAAAAAAAAGTGAGCAAATCGGATATATAATGGTCATGCAATCTGTAAGTGTGAAAATAGTCATTGGAAAAAAATCAAAGAATTAATGCTTGTTTAAACAGACTGATTTAAAAAAAATCAATTTTATGACCATTCGAAATTTTTTATTAGTAATATGCACATGTGTACCTGAATGTTTCTTCTGAGATGATAGAGGTCAAAATATTTTGAACCAAAAACTTAAAGCATAAGGATTGAAGTCAAATGTAACGAGTTTCTGGTATATTAAGGAGATTATTGAACCATTGTACGATAGACACCAACTAAATCCTCTGTGCACATTATTCTTTACATTTATTACCAATACATACGTATAATCGACAAAAAATATTGTATTCTGTTAACGATGATCGAAAAGAATGGGTGCTAAATAACTTTTGGGTTTTGGTGAGCGATGTTTATCAGTGTTTTTTTTTTTATATTTTCCATGCGTTTTGTGATTTTGTAACTTACACTTGTAACGTTTGATTTTGTCAGTTTTTATGGACTTCACCTTATTGAATTTACCTTGGAGTTCGGTATTTTTGTTATACTTTTTTGCCATCACAGTTGTTAAATGATTTCGTGTATTAAAATGTTTTCTTTCAGAATCAGTTCCTTCCACGCTTGTTAACCCTTTATTCCATCTTGGGTTTTCCCTTCGATCTTGCGTTGTGCAATATCAGAATTTCTAACGAGAGGGATCAGGGTAAGGTCACTGCATACGGATAATCAGTCCATGAATTAGATTACGGGAAGATCATTATTCAATAGTAATACACTTCTGAATAATTTGATGAAATAACCGATTTTCTTTTAAAAGAAGGTCTTTGTACACGTGTTTTATAGTAAAGCTTAGCCATTCGAGTACATTCGTAATTTTTGTTAAACTTAAAGGATCATATGGCATTAATAGATGAAACTAAAAAAGGACAAACATAAAACAAAACTACAGCAGGAAGAGAAAAGATAGCTCAGAAATTTTTGGTTCGACCAGATCGAGGATCGAACCCACGACCTACAGGACTAGTGGCGCGGAGCACGCAACAAAAAGACCAAGAAGTGGTTTTCTCGAAATAATGTGTCGAACTAAGAACAGTCTATTTTTGATGCATTCATAGGAATAAGGACTGAACAGGGCCGTAAAATAATTGAGGCTCGATTTTGGATACAAAATTGAATATAAAAGATACCAGTATTGGGTTTGTGGAAAACATATGGGGATATTTGTAACTACAGAGAAGTCTTTAATTTAAATATAGTATGACACAAAGTACTTTTAATGTAAGTATTTTATTTCTGTTGTGCATTATTGAAAAAATATGCTATCGGATTTCTAGAATTAAATACGGCACAATTCCCCCCTTTTACGACCCTCAGTTAGATTATCTGTTTGGTTCAATAAAAATTGCTGTAAAATAAAAGAACAGAGTTCCAATGTCCCCCGAGTTGCACATATTTTATCTATCCAGGGACAATAACTAAAAAAAAAAACACTTTTTTTTGTTGTTCTTTAAAACAATTTATAAATAAAAAGCGTGCGCGGGGGACAAAAAAGTTTTTTTATTATACATGTATACTAAATATTTCAATCAGACCTTCAAGGGCATTACTTATAGTATACTATAAGTTCTTTTTTTAAATTGTACCCGTGAGAGCGCTAACGAGGCCATTTTCCATAAATTTAATATTTCCAAGGGTCATAACGCTTTTAAAAAAGTCGATCGTCCACCATCATACAACTTGTCCGAGATATTGCTGATATTAACCTTTAGTATAAGTTTCATAAAAATCTGGCAAGAATTGTACCCGTGAGAGCGCTAACGAGGCCATTTTTCATAAATTTAATATTTCCAAGGGTCATAACACTTTTAAAAAAGTCGATCGTCCACCATTATGGAACTTGTCCGAGATATTGCTGATATTAACCTGAAGTATAAGTTTTATATTTAATGTAAGAATATTACAGTGCTAACAAGACCGGACGTACACACGGAAAGACGGACGGACGCCCGGTATTTCCATGTACCCCGCAACGTGTTACGCGGGGGACAATAAGATATTATATTATTAGACGAATATCTAGAAAAGGAATGTATTTGAAAATATAAACATATGTATGCACTGAACAAGCATGAACATATCCAATATCGATATAAAAAACTTCTAAAGCATTCAGAATAATAAAATTTTAAATTTAAAAAAAATTACAAATCATATAATACATCATGCTTTATGTTTCAGTAAAACACTATAAATACCACAATCCATCATATGAACTAAAAAAAGTTGTCTTGGAATGTTGAGGTAGTTCTCTTTCGCCAAGAAAAAATATCATACCCTACTGCGTCTCAAGTCAATTTTTTCTTCTTTCGCAAATGGAGTGTGTCCATAATTTTCGAATTAGTTTAATGTATAATCCTTGAAATTTAAATACCACTACTAGTATTTTGATCTTCTCCGCTGGACTTTGTATTGTCATTTGTGCTGCTTGTTAAGATTTGATCTTTGCTTCTATTGCGGTCAGTATTTGTGTCACACTGCAGATATTTTTCTTTTGGTTTTCGTTTACAACAAAGTTTCTGCCAATATTGACGAACTCTCTTTTCTCTAGCAGTGAAAAGAATGAAAATGAGGAATCCTTGAAAGACATTCAAAATAGTAAAAATGTACTGGAAGACTATGCTAGCTTTTTCTATGGTAAAAAATCCAAAAATCCATGTTAATCCTGAAAAACAAAAAAATACAGATATTCTTTATTTCAATACTATGCAATTAAACACGAGAGATCGAAAGAGATCTTAAATGTTTGTTGAATGATCTGAATGATCAAGATATTTTTAAAACAAATGATATAATTCATGTTATTAGCTACTATGTTAGCTAAGAGATATAACTTTTGAATACCTGTGACTATAACGAGCCTGTGTCGCTCACCAGTATCTTCAACAATAGCAACTTTTTCGTAAAAATCATCATTAAAGGGCAATGACCATGTAAAGAGTAAGCTGAGTTTCAGTCAGGTTTATGTATTTGTAGATCTTGTCCTGATGATCATTTTTGCTTTAAAAGTTTCTATCTATCTATCATAGTTTTCAAGAGGCAAGAACATGGTAAAAAAAAAATCATCGTTTAAGGGCGATAACTCCTTTATCCTTGTCTGAAGATAAGGGGATGTTGGCTTATTTGTAGATCTCGTCATGTTGATAATTTTTGCCAATTAAATATCTATCCATCTATTAGAATTTTCTGAGATAAAAGGCAAAAACGTAAAACAATGTGGTTAACACATTTAAGGGCGATAACCTCTTTAAGGAGTTGACTGGGGATTTGGGCTATGATTAATTATTTGTATATCTTGTCTTGTTGATCATTTTTGCTCTTTAGATTTCTATAGTTTTTTAAAATAAAAGGCAGTAATTTGGAAAACATCGTCATTTAAGGGGAATGACTCCTATAAAGAGTCGATCAACAATTTCAGCAATATCGATACAGGAAGATGTGGTATGAGTGCCAATGAGACAACTCTCCATCCAAGATACAACTGATAAAAGTAAACCATTATAGGTCAAGGTACGGCCTTCAACACGGAGCATTGGCTCACACCGAACAGCAATATCGACTTGTTTGTAGATCTTGTCTTGCTTATCACTTTTGCTATTCAAAGTTTCTATCTATTACAGTTTTCAACATAATTGCCAAAAACACATAAAAAAGTGGTAAAAATCTTCATTTACCGGCCACAACTCCTATAAGGAGTCAACTGACAATCTCAGCAATGACGTCTTATTTGTAGATCATGTCTTGTTGATATTTTTTTCTATTTAAAGTTTTTATCTGTTTATCATAGATATATCACTGTCATCCGAGTGTTTATCTAATGTATTTATTAGTAGTTAAAAACGTACGAACAATCTGGGCGAGAAAGTGTTTTACTTTTCAATTCCTCTTGATATTACTGTTTTTTTTTTCTCCCTTCTCAAATCGCAATTAAAAAAGTAAAAATTACGTTTGTTCTTACCTAGAAGAATTAGTACTGTCAATGAAGCACGAAGATTCATCATTGCTCTCTTCTTCTCTGACTGATTTGACTGAAGTCCCTTTGATCGGCCCCATAAGTTTTTCAGAATCATAATAAAAATGATAATATTGGCCAAAATTATAATCCCAACTGGTATTATAAATGCATAATAGAATGCATGAAGCGCCATCCAACACCTAAAAAATTAAAGTGAAAATATGAAAAACCTACCCAAACCGTCACTAAAATCACAAATTGACTGATACTTCAAGTGTTCTTTTTATCTATAACTTATTTTACTGGTCACTTCTCTTATGAAGTTAGCAGTCATCCGCCGTTTTTGCTGTTTTTGCTCATAATAACGATTATTGTCGTCAACAACTAAGGAAATCGCGTGATTTGTTTAAAATACCACATTCATTAAATATGGGAAACAGAACTATAGTCAATTCAGGAACTTTTAATAAAGGACTTTAAATGTAAAAAAATAAAATGAAATACATGACTTCCTGGCACGTTTTTCGTGTATACAGGTAAGCGTGATCGTATCCGTCGTGTTTAAAACAATGTTACGGCTTGGTTGTATGGTATGAAGGGACGAGTTCTGGTTGTAATTATTGTTTAGATTTGTCTTTTGAATGTAGCCGTTAAAAAATTCCACAAAACGTAATCCATAATCAATTAACTTATCGGATAGTTGGTTTGATTTTCACTCGGAAGTTTACCGCCTCGGTGTTCTTGTGATTGCGTGCCCACATCGAGTGCGAAAAATCGTGGGTTTGATCGGGTAAAACAAGAGACTTGAAAGCCAGCTCAGTGTGTCGGTGTTACAAAGTAGTGTTCATAATTATTTCTCGTCCTAATATGCACATTATAGTTGCCACTGGACGTAAACAAAAATCCCTCATCAACATCACTTATGATGAGCGAGATTAATCGTCAGATTTCAAAGAAAAGATCACTGACCTTTCAGCAACTTTCAATAAGAAGAACGTCTGTATGTTTTCGTAACTTATCATCGTCCCTTATATACTTTGTGGAGGCAGTGTCAAAACGAGTTAATCATTTTAAAACTTTTATTTTATAAATGTCCCATTTGAAAAGTTTTAAAAATTCTACGGCATTGTTTTCAAGATTACTCCATTATGACATTTGGGTATTTCATAACCATCAAACCAACTTAAAATTCAACAACACTTTTTAAACTTACCCAGATCAACGTTTGTGTACATTGATAAACTTGTATTATAATACATAATCTGATGAACAACGCAATTCCAATGGGTTTCTTTATTTATAATCAAAGTTCCGTTGTTTTATAGTTATTTCAAAATGTATGGTCCCGTTAATAAATAACTTAAAACACGATCGATGTTATTTTTATAAAAACACAAAACATTCCGTATCTTTACGATAGTTCAAGGTCTGTCAAAATTAGGGGGAAATTTTGTTTTCGAATATTTATATATAAGTTTTTATTTCAGCAATCACAGTTATTTCTAATCAGAAACTATTGTGACCTTACCAGCCTTTCATTATAATATACAATATATGGACAAAAATCATTTAAAAGCCATGGATGTACAAGATCAATACACCTGTACAGCTATATCATCAACAGTTATGATGTCTTTATTGTCCCAAAAAATATTTTTTGTCATGAAAAATTTACATTTATTCTTTTATTGATAATTCAATTTTTTTTTTCATTTGATGATGATGGTTAAGTGTTTAACATCCAGTGGCAATGGTACATGCATATCAGGACCTGAACATGTTAATGTGATATTGATATAAACCCTGCTTTATAATAGACCGACACACTGAGCTGGATTTTTAACCTGATAGTTCATAAGGTAGCAGTCCAAAAGCTCCAATACCCGTGTGAATAATTCTAACTCCGAGCCGACCAGTCTTTGCTTTTACTCCTAATACCGAGTGTTTAGCGGAGACTTTCCCTAAAATAGTCGGTATACAATATTGTGATCTACATGTTTCTTTTAGTTTTTGGTACTTGAATATTACGCTTATAGTGAGTATTTTGTCTGATGTTGTGTCAATTGAGTTTCTACACACATCCTTTCATTTCTACCTAAACAACTGTAACTTCATATTTATAAATAAAAGATACAAGTCTAACTGACAATGCGATAGAATGACCTGTAACTCAAAGAAGACAAAATGTCTATAGCAAACAATGACAAAATTTTTACTTACGCCTTGTTTCCACCAATATACAATTCATGATCATAAGCTAAAACGATGATCACAGGTATCAATGGAATACCTTAAAAAGATATAATATACATTGTATTATCAAAACTTAACAAAATTAAAGTCATATGAAACGAGTTTCTTGTAATTTTATTGTTATCGAAATTATTGAACAAATGCATGCATAGATAATATATATACTAAAATAAGTCCTGTATTCACGTTTTTTTATATCTTTTTCGATTCTATAATGTATTATCGACAAAAAATATTTCATTCAGTGATTGTTGATCGCAAGCTAATTAACTTTCGAGTTTGTTGCTGAAGTTTACCGGATCGTATCATTGATAAACAATCAAGAAAGAGCACGTGGAAAACCTGACGAATAAGTGAATTGAAAGAGTCATGGTATTTTTTTTATATTCTCCATGCATTCCAATTTGTTAATTAAACTTTTCCTTAACAGTTGTTAAATGATTTGTTGTATTAAATTTGTTCTTTTTAAATTCTTTCATCACGGTTTTTCCCTCGCACTTGCGCTGTGCGATGGCCGAAGTTCTAATGAGCGATCGCTTAGTAAAGGTCGCTGCATACGTTAAAAATATCGGCGAATCAGTGTACAGGAAGACAATAATGCAATAGCAGCACATTTATGAAGATTTTGATAGTAAAAAGGATTTTCTATTACAAGAAAATACACTTGTTTTATAGTAAAACTTAGCCATTCAAGCATATAAAACATATTCAACTTTTTTTAAAACTTGAAGTTTCATGTGAGTTTAACAAATTTTTTTAAAGTCTTAACGCACATAGAAAATATATTACCATAGTGCCTTATCGAATTAAATACGATTATGGCATTATGTTTTTGGTACTTTAAATGTTAGATGTTAACACGGATTCATGTTGCTGAGTCATTAGTTTTCATGTAGTGTATAGTAGATTGTTGTTGGTCTTTTTGACGTTATTGTTTTTTGTTATGTTTTGTCTGTCTCTTCGATTTACGTATTTTAGATTTTTATTTCGGTTTCTTTCGGTTCTTCTTGGAATGTTTGGTCGAAGTCTAAAACCGTTTTATAGTATGTGAAGTTGCATGCGCGGGCGGGCAAAGAATAGTAGGTACCGACTTTGTGTAGTCGACTCTCCCTATAGTTTTCAATCCAGATCCCTGAAACTTCACAGGAAGATTGCACATTTGTTGAAGATATGCACCTGCTTTTATGGAATTTTTTAAGGATTTTTCTCTCATTTTTTTCTAGACGTGGGAACTTTTTTCAGCAAAATTCATAAAAGAAGTTCAAGTTTTGTTTAATCAACTCCTTCTACAGGTTTCAACCCAAATTGTGTAAGAATTTTTTCTCATTTTCCAACTTTTGGAACTTAGTAAATTTTCAGCAAAATTTATGAAAGAGGTCACACGTTTTCAACTTCTACATTTTCAACCAAGATCCACCAGACTTCACAAAAAGGCTGTACACCTGTTTAAGTTGTGCACCTGCTATAATGGAATTGTTAGAAGATTTTTTTCACGTTTTTCCGTATTTTGGAACATTCTACATTGATAAGTCATACTAATTGCAACCCGGCCATTTGAAATTTTGACCATTTTATTTCAAGACTTTGAAAACTTTTTTGGCATGTTAACAATTAATCAAAAACATGATTCATTTAACCGTTCTATTTTCTTTTTAAAAAATTCAGAAGATTTTTAAAGACGTAGGTACATTTTAATAAAAATCACTAACAATCGGTAAACTATTTTTTCACCTATCCATATTTTGTTTCAAATACTTGGAGAAAAAAGAAGACATAGCGCTATAGATGTTGCATTAAACTGTAACAAAGTCAAAATTTAAAACTGCAGTTTTGAAAACTGTCCTCTGTGGATACAACATCTACATTTAAATAGATACTACAATTTAAACAAAGGAGAAGGGCTAAGATCTGACAAATAGTTAAACGACGGCTCATATCCAATGTTTCAATCCCAAGTCAGAAACCTCGCTAATAGTTGTCGTATGTTAATATTATATTATGTGTTTTTCGTTTTTTGGAACATGTGGTGTTGATGACAGATCGATCATTGACGGTTTCTGTTTGATTACCAGTAATTAACATCTCTTTAAAGGGAAGTTAGTTCATGCAAAACTGTAACTGAAAACATGATGTTAAAGAAATAATCAACCTAAAGGGTTAAATACTTGTTATCAGTAGTTAGAAAACCTGCACGTGACAATACAGTCTGTAGAACACAGCATTGAAAAAAATCGTTCGCTATTAAACGTTTGATCATCGACTCGTCCATTTTGATTATTACTATTGAACGTCAGCGGCATGAAAATAAAATTAAAAAAAAACTATACTGTGTGGCGCCAAACCGTAAAACTTCACTATTGGTCATTAAAACACGTTTGTACTAAGTCTAGAGGATCGGTTCAACAAATATGTTTCTGCTATTCCGTGAAACGGATATAAAGATAGTTTTATATTGCATTTATATTTAAATGTAATTAATATATTATGTATCATACGTTTTATACATACCCCATGCAGGAACAGCTGTTTTAAGGATAAAGTTTGGAATATAGGTTCCAAGAACTTTTACAAATCTCAAATATTGGAGAATTCCTTCCATCAACATCCACATGAATGCAACAAGAATGAAATAATGAAGTAACACAGCAACTGCTAAACACCCTTTTAAGTCATGAGTTTGTCCAATTCCCACTATGAATATTATTAAAAAACAGAGCAATGATAAAGCAAGGTTGAAAAGAGTTTGTTGTGCTCTGCCTTTACGTAGGTGTCTGAAAAAGAAAAGAAGCATACAAGTAACAACATAATGAACAATAAATTTCACAATGAAACTCAGTCAGTTATTTAGTGTCAGTCTTTGTAAGAATCAGGCAATTTAGAAAGCAACATGATCGAAAAAAATCCCACCGAACTAACCATCCTATTTTGAAGTTCATCCTGAGTTAGAAGTGGTAGATCTTTCGTTTCTGCGTGTCTGGTAATTCGAGAAATCTCTACCTAACATTTGGTTAGAATGCAAGCAAATTACAGAGTTAGATTCTCTTAATTGGTGATTTCTAGTGCATTTAAACCAAATTTTATCTTGAATTAACAGAACCGGAAAAGGAAACAAACGTTATATTCGTACACCATTATACATTTTGAACTTAAATTAATGTAAACTTGAGTGGGTTTTTATTTGTCATGTTTTCACCACTGCCTGATTCTTAGGCAGATTGGCCCTTAATGGTGATATTCAGATTTCAATGTGATAACCCTTTTAAGAAATACGATAGACCATGTCTTGATACGGGAGACCATATTAAACATTCAGATAAAAAAATCAAAATAGGATGCAGAATGACATCAATTCGAAAATTAAGGGAACGCATAAGAAATAAGAAATACAATAGAAAATGTACATGATGTGATTTAAAATCAGTCTGCCCAAACAAGTAGTCTAATTGTTGTATGTCAGGCATTGTAATTTCATAAGAGGCAACCAGAGCCAATATGGTCAATAGTTTAAGTCAAAGTGAACAATGGCTTTTTGTAAAAATGTTCTTTAATGTTTTATTGAAGTCAAATGCTATTTTTGGAGTTACTAATACAAAATGATTACCCTTCTGTAGTATGCCATAGGCCGTGTTGCGTATGATAAATCCGTCAAAAATAATTTAGAACAAAGCATACAACTGAGTTGCAAAAAAATGCTAGATGTATAGATTTATCTGAAGGTTCATTGATACACACACACGAACCCTAACAATTAAGGACAAATTAAAACAGATTTTTAATGAAAAAAAATCTTTTTCAAAGGCGTGTAAGGTTCTGCAATTTCAAATGTAGCTGATGTATTGAAGGCAAACAAATGTAAAAAAAAATTCAGTTTTCGTCAATCCTCATATGATATTATACTAAAATAAGGTAGGACCACAACGGCCAATGTTCAATATATTAAATCTTTATAGGATGATGCGACATCTTTACTCAATCTTTCTTAGTATTTTTCATTTGGTTCATAATAAGGTTCTAATGCATGTAGTCTTTTTTCCACATTTTCAAAGCGATATTACACTCGTTTACTCGTACAATTTGCAAAGTAAATCTCACAAATAAATGTTTCATTGCATGACAGTCAATTAAGGGCCTTTTTTGTAAGTTGAAGGCTTATTCAAATATTTGTACATCAAAATACTGTTTTAAAAATCAGACGAAAGGTTCTTCGATACTAGGATGCTTAAACGAATGTTTAAAGTGAAAAGACTATTTACAATGAAAATGCAACACTTAAACTATGTGATAAAAATTAATTGCATTTGAAAATGATAATATATATTTATATGTTAGAATTCCAATTTTGTTTGAATAAAACAATAGAATGAGAAGAGAAAACATTTGGATCTACCAACTCAGTCCATTAAAATCTGATGGTTAACAGGACAAAGATGAAGAATATTACAGAAAATATTAATTCTTCTAGCCTTCGTCAGTGTCAATAATTTTTATCATATACTAGTGCCGTTGCGCAAGTATTTAGACTTTTATAATTTTTTCCTTATCTGCGCAGTATCGTCTATTCTATTTATTTATGCGACTGTCATACAAGAGAGAGGTTTAGCTAGCTATAAAACCAGGTTTAATCCACCATTTCTACATAAGTAAATGCCTGTACCAAATCATTTGATGTGTTAGAGCTTTTGATTTTGCCATTTGATAACGGACTTTTCGTTTTGAATTTTCTTTGGAGTTCGGTATTTTTGTTATTTTACTTTATATTAAATTTGCTGGTTGGTCCTTTTTATAAACTTCTATAAATATATATATATATATATATATATATATATATATATATATATATATATATATATATATATATATAGATTGCCTAACAATGTAATTTTAACACACTATTTAGTATGTAAATATAAGAATGTTTAAAATATTTACAAAATGATGAAAATAAACGCAATATTTCGCTAGATTAACTAGCTTTATCAGGCGTGCATCTATCCAGGTGAAATCGGATGTAGATGATAAGAAACTTTTGCAGCTCAATGTATATGTTGCACTTGAATTTAGCTGCTTTGAAAATGATACATAATTTGGATGAAGTTCAAGATTTTTACAAAATTGGTAGTTGAAGTTAGCAACGTCCATTGGCCAATATTACAGGATAAAAAGGACGATGCTGTGTTCTAAATTATTCTTTATCTTTCCTGTATCTTTTCTCATCTTTTTCGTTAAGACCATCAGGTTCTAAAGTGTGGAGTTGGTGGATCCAAAAATTTTCTCTTCTCCTTCTCGCCGTGGTGTCCCACTCGGTGTTGACTTCTATGATTTGGAAGGTAACATTATCAAAAGAATGTTTCGTTGAACGAAGATGTCTTGTGAGAGGACAGTTTTTGTTGGTTTTGTACCATGAACGATGGTTATTGAGCCGAATATTAAATTTGTCCATTGTTTCTCCCACATACTGAATGCCACATGTGTCACATGTTAATATATAAATTGAGTTCTCCGTTTTACAGTTGGAATTTGAGTAGATGGTATAATTTTGTTTAGTAACGGAGCTGATGAAAGAACTGCTTGTATTGGCAGCTTTACAACACAAGCAGTTCCTTCGACCACATTGTTTGTAGCAACCGGGAGATGGAGTAGGCTGCTTTGCTAATACAGATGTCACTAATTTGTCACGGATGTTTTTAGGTCTTCTGAAGGCCATGACTGGTGGTGAGGAAAATACTTTTTTAAGATTTGAATCATTTTCTATAATTTTCCAATGCTTCTGAACAATGGAAGACACATTTTTAAAATCAGGATGGTAAGTGAGTACAAGGGGTGTTCTGTTAGCTGCTTTATTCTTATCTTTGTACTCTAGAAGTTCTTGGCGACTAGTTTTGTTTGCTCTTTCGAAAGCGCTATCAATGATGTTGTTATTGTATCCTCGAACAACTAGACGTTTACGTAGTTGTCCAAGTCTAGCATTTTGCGTATTTTCAGTAGAGCATATTCTTTTGATTCGCAATGCCTGGCTGAATGGGATGCCACGGGAGCAGTGTTTAGGATGGCAACTTTTAGGAGAAAGGAATTGATGTTTGTCCGTTTGTTTGGTATGAAGGTCCGTTATAATGGTTCCGTTCTTGATGTAACTCGTAGTGTCGAGGAAGTTTATTTTCTCCATAGATGATTCATATGTAAATTTTATTGAATGGTGGAAAGAGTTACAGTGTCCTAGAAATTCATTAAGATGTTCTTGTGAATCTGTCCATTTGAAATCAATATCGTCAATGAATCGGAACCATGATAAGGGCTGGTATGGAGCACTAGTCAAGAGGCGTTTTTCAAGTTGGCCCATAAATATGTTGGCATATGACGGGGCCATTTTTGTGCCCATACTAGTACCGTCTATCTGGAGATAATGTTTTTCATTGAAAGAGAAGTTGTTGTTCTCTAGCACTAGTTTCAGAAGTGTAACAAGGCACTCAGTTGGAGGATTTTTTTCACTTCGAGTGTTCCATACCTCTTCACACGCTGCTATTCCTTCGTCTTGTGGAATGTTGGTATATAAAGAAGACACGTCCATGGATGCAAGTATAGTATTGCTTGGTAGAGGATTGAGGCTTTCCATTTTCTTTAGATAATCAGTCGTATCCTGGATGTAAGAGGGTAGTTCTTTCACATGAGGTCTTAGATGATGGTCTAAAAATTCTGATATCTTTTCAGTTGGATGACTATTTGCTGAAACAATTGGTCGACCTGGATTGCCCGTTTTATGTATTTTAGGCAACATATAGAATCTTCCGGCCTTTGCTTCGTTCTCAAGAGGTCGGAGATAATCAAAGGTGTCATTGTCTATATGCTTTTTGTCGAACATCTCTTGAAGGATGGTGTTGATCCTTCGAATATTATTTAGTGTTGGATCTGTGGTTAATTGTTTATAAAAAATGGAGTTTGAAAGTTGGCGATTTCCCTCTGCTATGTAATCTGTTTTATTCATGACACCTGCCGACAAAGGGGGCGCTGTGGTTGTCATGAATAAAACAGATTACATAGCAGAGGGAAATCGCCAACTTTCAAACTCCATTTTTTATAAACAATTAACCACAGATCCAACACTAAATAATATTCGAAGGATCAACACCATCCTTCAAGAGATGTTCGACAAAAAGCATATAGACAATGACACCTTTGATTATCTCCGACCTCTTGAGAACGAAGCAAAGGCCGGAAGATTCTATATGTTGCCTAAAATACATAAAACGGGCAATCCAGGTCGACCAATTGTTTCAGCAAATAGTCATCCAACTGAAAAGATATCAGAATTTTTAGACCATCATCTAAGACCTCATGTGAAAGAACTACCCTCTTACATCCAGGATACGACTGATTATCTAAAGAAAATGGAAAGCCTCAATCCTCTACCAAGCAATACTATACTTGCATCCATGGACGTGTCTTCTTTATATACCAACATTCCACAAGACGAAGGAATAGCAACGTGTGAAGAGGTATGGAACACTCGAAGTGAAAAAAATCCTCCAACTGAGTGCCTTGTTACACTTCTGAAACTAGTGCTAGAGAACAACAACTTCTCTTTCAATGAAAAACATTATCTCCAGATAGACGGTACTAGTATGGGCACAAAAATGGCCCCGTCATATGCCAACATATTTATGGGCCAACTTGAAAAACGCCTCTTGACTAGTGCTCCATACCAGCCCTTATCATGGTTCCGATTCATTGACGATATTGATTTCAAATGGACAGATTCACAAGAACATCTTAATGAATTTCTAGGACACTGTAACTCTTTCCACCATTCAATAAAATTTACATATGAATCATCTATGGAGAAAATAAACTTCCTCGACACTACGAGTTACATCAAGAACGGAACCATTATAACGGACCTTCATACCAAACAAACGGACAAACATCAATTCCTTTCTCCTAAAAGTTGCCATCCTAAACACTGCTCCCGTGGCATCCCATTCAGCCAGGTATTGCGAATCAAAAGAATATGCTCTACTGAAAATACGCAAAATGCTAGACTTGGACAACTACGTAAACATCTAGTTGTTCGAGGATACAATAACAACATCATTGATAGCGCTTTCGAAAGAGCAAACAAAACTAGTCGCCAAGAACTTCTAGAGTACAAAGATAAGAATAAAGCAGCTAACAGAACACCCCTTGTACTCACTTACCATCCTGATTTTAAAAATGTGTCTTCCATTGTTCAGAAGCATTGGAAAATTATAGAAAATGATTCAAATCTTAAAAAAGTATTTTCCTCACCACCAGTCATGGCCTTCAGAAGACCTAAAAACATCCGTGACAAATTAGTGACATCTGTATTAGCAAAGCAGCCTACTCCATCTCCCGGTTGCTACAAACAATGTGGTCGAAGGAACTGCTTGTGTTGTAAAGCTGCCAATACAAGCAGTTCTTTCATCAGCTCCGTTACTAAACAAAATTATACCATCTACTCAAATTCCAACTGTAAAACGGAGAACTCAATTTATATATTAACATGTGACACATGTGGCATTCAGTATGTGGGAGAAACAATGGACAAATTTAATATTCGGCTCAATAACCATCGTTCATGGTACAAAACCAACAAAAACTGTCCTCTCACAAGACATCTTCGTTCAACGAAACATTCTTTTGATAATGTTACCTTCCAAATCATAGAAGTCAACACCGAGTGGGACACCACGGCGAGAAGGAGAAGAGAAAATTTTTGGATCCACCAACTCCACACTTTAGAACCTGATGGTCTTAACGAAAAAGATGAGAAAAGATACAGGAAAGATAAAGAATAATTTAGAACACAGCATCGTCCTTTTTATCCTGTAATATTGGCCAATGGACGTTGCTAACTTCAACTACCAATTTTGTAAAAATCTTGAACTTCATCCAAATTATGTATTATTTTCAAGGCAGCTAAATTCAAGTGCAACATATACATTGAGCTGCAAAAGTTTCTTATCATCTACATCCGATTTCACCTGGATAGATGCACGCCTGATAAAGCTAGTTAGTCTAGCGAAATATTGCGTTTATTTTCATCATTTTGTAAATATTTTAAACATTCTTATATTTACATACTAAATAGTGTGTTAAAATTACATTGTTAGGCAATCTATAATTTTATTTGTGTAATTGAATTAATCTCTGTACTGATTAATCCACACTCCCATAGATTTGTATGTCATGTGCTGCTATTTATAGGCACTTATATATATATATATATATATATATATTGATCTAAAAAAACAGTACAGCAAACTAAAACAACTGCACGAATTTAATATATGCAACATCTAAAGTTTAGTTCTATGGTAAAATAGGCGACCAATCATCGTTTATCACACATATAAGGTAAAGATGTAGAAGATAATTTTTTTTAATATGATAGCATTATAAATACGTATCTTGTTGGAGAAACGATTAACAGTCGCGTGTATATGTAGGGTAGACTCAACGATAGTATATGTAAAGATGTTTCTATTAGTATATTTAAAAATGGATGATTGTAAATCAAACATTACATTTTTTTAACAAGAGTGCATACGCTGAAATGTCTCGCCTACTATACTGACCATTGATTTTATGTTGATAGTCCAACATATAAAGTTTTACTACAAGTATCACATTAACATTTATGATTCAAGAAAATGAAGTCAAGGTCAGATGAACCAAGACACAAATACATGTTCACCTGCTTACAGTATAAAATAAAGAGACCAAACCATGGAAATTCTATATTGACCAATGAACCATGAAAATGAAGTCAAAGTCAGACGATCCCTGCCAGACAGACATGTTCACCTTAAAATCATTCCATGCATCAAATATAGTTGACCTATTGCTTAAAGTATCGAAGAAACAAAGTTAACCAGGAAAACTGAACTTTGACCAATGAACCATGACAATGAGGTGGAGGTCAGATGATACCTGCCAGACAGACATATACACCTTACAATCATTCCATACACCAAATATAGTTGACCTATTGCATACAGTATTAGAAAAACAGACCAAAACACAAAAACATAACATTGAGCAATGAACTGTGAAAATGAGGTCAAGGTCAAATAAAAACTGACATGCATATCGTAAAATATTTCCATACACCAAATAAGTTGACCTACTGTATACAGTATTAGAAAACCAGACCAAAATACAAAAACTTAACATTGAGCAATGAACCGTGAAAATGAGGTCAAGGTCAAATAAAACCTGCCAGACTGACATGTACATCGTAAAATATTTCCATACACCAAATATAGTTAACCTATTGCATACAATAATAGAAAAACAGACCAAAACACCAAAACTAAACTATAACCACGGAACCACGAAAATGAGGTCAAGGTCAGATGACACCTGCAAGCTGGAAATGTACACCTTACAATCATTACATACACCAAATATAGTAGACCTTTTGCTTATAGTATCTGAGATATGGACTTGACCACGAAAACTTAACCTTGTTCACTGATCCATGAAATGAGGTCGAGGTCAAGTGAAAACTGTTTGACGGGCAAGATGACCTTGCAAGGTGCGCACATACCAAATATAGTTATCCTATCACTAATAATAAGAGAGAAATTGACATTACAAAAAAATCTTAACTTTTTTTTCAAGTAGTCACTGAACCATGAAAATGAGGTCAAGAACAATGGACATATGACAGACGGAAACTTCATATCATAAGGCATCTTTATACAAAGTATGAAGTATCCAGGTCTTCTACCTTCTAAAATATTAAGCTTTTAAGAAGTTAGTTAACGCCGCCGCCGCCGGATCATTATCCCTATGTCGAGCTTTCTGCGACAAAAGTCACAGGCTCGACAAAAATTGAAATTTCTAAAGTATAGTTTCTGATGGTGCAGACAAAAATATTGCTTTAAAATTATTAAATCCTAAAAGTCCCACCTATACTTTGGATATGTCTTACAACATCTCTTGTTTTAGATATTTCAATAAAATAGATGGGCTATGTTGTACAAATTCTAATCTACTACGCAAATTCTTTATATACCAGCGTTCAGATAACTAGGGGCACACATAGAAAGACATAACACATTGATAAATTCACCATAACACTCTAAAATTGAATGATCCGTTGAGGCTGATGTAAGCTGGTATCTTTGATGAGTTTTTCAGACGAAAATTCGGAATCGATTGCTAAGCCATTATTTAAAACCTGCGATAAAAATTGGTATTAAATATCCATTCAGCTATGATAAAGTGGGAAAAAAATTTCTTACTTAAAAACAATGAATGAAACTATAGTAAGAGATAATCCAACGATGGAAAGTATGAGGCCAATCCAAGATATAATGTGCATGGCTAGAGAATCCACTAAATTATCTTGGCCACCAATATTCTGAAAAGATAAAAGATCAAACACTTTATTAGTCACACTTTAAGACTATTATGAGTTATATCAGTTTCAATATAATACATTCCGACAACTATATAAGCCTACTCATTTAAAACTCGTTTTTGTCTTTTTTCTTTAAACACAAATATAATAGGAAACGACTAATGTCATGATATCTAAATAACGTGTAAACTTCTCGATACTTCTTTTTTAGTCAAATAGGGAAGTTTGAATAAAATGAGAACATTATAAGGATATGTACAATTTCGTTTAAAGGGGCATTAGCTACGAGATATAAAAAAAAATTAAGATATGATTTTTTTGGTTCAATCATTAATGAAAGTGATATAGTGGAATACTAATTCGCTTTTAGCAGTCAAGATGGTTTAATTTTGTCAAAATAGAATAAGAAACATCGCTGATGAATTATTCACTTGCAAGTGAATAATTCGACCTCATTGATTCCGTATTCATGTGACCTTCAATTTAACCCCTACTAGAGATGGGTTACGCATGTATTCTGCTATTGAAAGGAAACTAATGTCAACATTGAAAGTGAGACAAGGATAAAACCATTTGGTTGACTAATTCGATCCACAAAAAAATCTTTCTTATACAGGTAAAAACGATAATAAACATACTTTTTTAAATACAATATGAAATCAAACAGACCTAGAAAAATCCAATTGCACGTGGTCGCTATCTGTTTATATTTATATGTATGTTTATATCTGGTTATATGACCGTCGGCAGTCTTCGGATGTCATCTCGATGGTTACGTCTAGACAAAAATACACACGAAATATTGATACATATTATCGAATCCATGCATTGTTAATTGTTTATTTTAGACTTTTTGTAATTTGGATATACGTTTTAGTATATTATAAACAAAATATGAGAATTTGAGTCAAAATGGTGAACATGAATTTGACAGCTAATGCCCCTTTAAATGCGAAACGTTTTGCATATAATCGTTTTAATCTAAATAAAAAGAGAACATGAAGTACAATGATAGAATATAAGTTTTACAATTAATCTCATATTACCACAATCACTGCAAAGTTAGTCAAATGATCACAAACACAAACATATCGTCCATATTCTGTTTTATTCAACTGACAACCGTCGGTTGCCCATCCACCAGATGTATCATGGATGTCGTAGTTCCAATATCCACATAAAGAAGATTCGGTGTCCTACAAACGGAGATGAATGATATTTTTTCAGCTAATATATGGAAGATACATTCTGGTCAAACGAGACCACACAGCAGTCGTATACAACTTGTGGTTGCAGTTATTCATTTTGGTTATTCATATTGTTATATCAAAATATTCCGTATGCGATGTGGTTTCATACGCTAATCAAGTACAAGGACATTGAAATGCAATAGTATCACAGATGCGACAATTTAAGATAAATTATCACTATCTATTCCAATGCACATATAGAATTTTCTTATGCTTTGTCAAAATGTAGATTTTACCATGCAATTTTCAAAAATATAATAAAAAGTATGGGTCTGCAAAAACAGAATTTTGTAAATAGAAAGAAATCTATCAGATAGAAATTTTGAAATAAAATATGAGAAGATAGATATCTATATTATTTAAGAATTTTGGGGTTTTTTTTAAATAGTGTCAGAGAATTGTTTTTCTTGCTACAAATAAAAAATGAAAATTTCACTTACATTCCTTTATAAAATCTACAAGAGTTATCTTCTCGTATATGGCTAAGTTGAAAATTAAATTGAACAAAAACAAATATTTGGTATTTATAAAAAAGTCTTAAATATACAATAAATGACTTTTTGTTTCTTTATTTGAATAAACTGTATAATACATATAAATTGCTATTCTGTCTCAAAATTTGTAGATTTCAGCCATGAACTTGACAGATTGTGTACTGCTATTTTACAATCCAAGATGGCGATATACAGTTAATCTACTTTAAGGTCTGTATCAAAATTTCAGAAAAAATCTACTTTTATTGACAGTCAGAACACCATGCAAAATGTCTTTTTTTAGTTTGTTTTTGATGTCCAAAGGTGTTTGTCAGTGAGAGAATTATTTCCTGCTTCGATGATAGGATTGTTTTCCTGCAATTGTACCCACATATCTGTGAGCTTCCTTTGTAGATTCGTCAAGTTCGATATATGAAGTTATACTATCATATCCCTTTGAAGGTACGTATTTAGAATGTTTTATTGAACTAAATTATTATTATTTGTTATTATTTGAACCCACATGTTTACACTGTAAAAAGACATACTGATAATATCATATTTTAAAATAACCTTCGAGTTTTAAGAACTTAGTCCGTTCAAGCAACAAAGCCAATATCAGGAGGGAAAATTATAAGCCATATCGCTTTTAAACATTATATAAAAACAAAAAAGAAAGAATTCGACTTCATTCATTAAGATGTAGGATCAATATCCCCGAATATATTTTACACCATGACCATTTAAAAAAGTCATTCATTCTTATTCACCCAATTTATGCTTGTGCTTTTAATGTTCTTGCAATAGAATTGATTATCTTTCAACAGATCACACAATTCTAAACGCCTTTAATTAGTCAAAAGCCGAATTTTGTATAGATTTGGGCAAATTTTTTAGTATTTCTACCAAAAATGTATAAGATCGACATCGTTAACCAAAACCAAAAACCACCGGGGGATTTATTAAGAGTCAAAGGTCCCATATCTATAAATATATTGCTTTCTTTTAGTCGGGTGATAAATTTTAACTCCGCTTAATATGTAGCATGATGCATGCTATATAATGACATGCAGATGGTGTTAATGTGCAGTGGGTTTGTTTTCCTATAAAGGGTTACAAATTTGTCAAACACTCACACAACGTTTTATGTACTATACAATATCAGAACTGAACATATACAAAAGCAGTATTAATTGAAATTAAATGGACAAGAGTGAACAAATGTTGGTATTGACGAATCTGTTCCTGTCTATAGTTACAAAAACTGAAATTTCAACGTTTACTTACCGCAGTCGGATAAAATAGAGTCTGAACTTCGTAATCACCGAGAGAAAGAACAGGAATCCCATCTATAAATATACTAGACGCAATAACTCTGCTGTTTGGTAAGTACTGTCGGACATCTGACCGTACAGAAAACAAATTCCAATTTCTGTATATATTGTAAGATATTCTTGTGGAATTATGAAACTCTGTAATTCAAGACAAAAATAATTACTTACGCAATATATCTATAAATAAGAAAGAAGATTGCACAATTTGCGTTTTTACAAAAAAAAAGTACTTCGCGTCACAGTACCAGTAGAAGAGACTAATACTTCAAGACAAAAATTACCGAATAGCAATATAACCAATAGAGAACCAAAATAAGAATGTTCATTAAATTTCATTATAGAAACTGATATTCACTACCGAAATATTTTTAAGCGAGTACAAAAGCATTGACTAGCAGGTTACTCAAAGATCGTTAACGTGAAATCCACCAGAATTGGCAGCTCTCCTTAGGAAGTAGTTAATAAATTAAGTACAAATTAAATTTGATGCACCAAAATCCAATTTCGACGACTGCAAATGACGAACCAATATTGTTGAAAAAATGCTTGCAAACTTGAACGAGAAGCAATTTGATTCGCTATAATCGGTCTTCTCGAAAAGGATATAATTTCAAATTCAGTTCTATCTTTTCTATGTACTTAGGTAGGAACTGACATATAGTTAAAACAAAATCTGGACTTATGGCGACGTCCAGATTGATATATGATAAAGACACTTCTCGATTATTGGAAAGCGTATGTTTGACCTTTAGCCTGTCTCTATACCAAAGAAAAAAAAAATCATAAGAGATTTATCAAATCCTAACCATGACTAGAATTATACACAAAAACAAAACGTTAAACCTACACAGTGAGTTAAACTTTTGTCAAAGTACTGAGTAGAAAAATAAGAAGCCATGTATGAATGCCAATAAGACAAATATCTGTCAAGATATGCCGGACTATCAAGCTCTTCTATCTTATTGAATATAAAACTTTATATAAGAATTGAATGCTTCTTTTTGTAAATTTATTGGGGCGTAAAAGCGTTGACCAGAAGTACATTTTGTTCTAAAAAATTTTTCTAAAAATGTGCGCACGCTCAAAGCTTTTACAACCCTATAAAATTACTAAAAGAAGCATTCAATACTATACAAATAACACATAGCTCAGAGGGTGATAGAGCAAATTGTTACCCCGCGAAGCCAAGGTTGACAATGTCTTTTCGAGGGTTAACAATCTGCTTTATCACCGTCTCAGATATATGTTATTTAATTTATTATACTGAATGTTCTGTTATTACTGTCTATCACATTGCATATTCAAAGTAATAAACTATGACGTCTTGTTACATAACAATCATCCGTATTTATTAAAACGCACACTTGATCAAGCGTCTCCGTGAAGGGTAATAGAGTATTTGCCATGGGATAGAGTAAATTGTCTCCCTCGTATTAACCAATCAAAATCTGGCATTTTGACATGAAGTATAATAATTATAAATAAACAATATTAGGTCAATGTCAGAAAATTATAATTTTTTTTTGTATGAGGCTGAGAAACTGGGGAATGGCGAGGTTTTGTAACACAAATTTCAAACTTATTAAGTTTTCATCCCTTAATGAACCCTTGGTTGTGGAAAAAGCGGTCCATGATGAAATTGGCATTGCACAAAATATAGCTGTTACTATATTTAGAAAATAAACACAACTAGTTGCAGTATAATTACATTTTTTTGCTAGGATCATGAAAACATGATTTCTATCAAGCTTTTCTTTTGTTTACCTGTGCACTTTATTGTGGAAGCTCGTGTTATCATGAATGTTACATTTCATGTTGAAATGAAGATTAATTTCAGAATGACGCGATATTGCTGTTACCCAATCAAAATAACGAATTATAATAAAACATACATGTAATGTAATTATAATAGTTTAAGGCGAACACATACATACATATCAAATTCTGTGACAATTGTTACAGGCGTGACAAAAATTGATTGTGTAAAACATTCCTTTATTGCAGGGGCGGATCCAGCCATTTTTAAAAGGGAGAGTTCCCAACCCAGGATAAAAGGGGGGTCCAACCATATATCCCCATTCAAATGCATTGATCGTACAAAAAAAGGGTTCCAACCCCGAACCCCCCCCCCCCCCCAAATAATACTCCAGTACTTTAGGTAATTCTTAAAATTTTTGATATTCCTTATACATGTATTCCGTTGAATACTCACTTTCTATTAAATCAACTGGGAGAATAATAGCAGCATCAACTGTCTCTAAATTAACATGTGATCCGTTTACCAAGTTCTGTATGGTACTGTTGGTCAATGCCACCGGAGAACCTCCTCCTTCGATCTGTATACCAACGACTGTGGAAGATAGTGCAGATATATCGTACACCTCCATCAGTATATTTTCCCTCAATAATCTAATTCCAGGCTGTCCTTGTAAATCAAGAAAACGGGGAATGATGTTGATAACTTCTAATATTCTATTTAAAAGAAAACAATAATAAAATTTATTTACAATTCACATTTAATTGCACCAGATGTGCATTTCGACAATAAATATCCCTTCAGTGATGCTCGAGTCCAAAATATTTGAAAGTGAAAAAACCTAATACAAACACTAAAGAGCTGATAAAACTAATAAAGCTGAATTAACGACCACATGACTCATGTTCAATTTTAAAGCTACAAAATCAACCTTAACCAAAGAATTGAAAAAGAGGTGTTGGCACTCGTACGTATTTCCCTTAGATAATCAGAATTGGACATGTTACGAAACCTTGTGGAATATGAATAAACTAGTCTAAATGGTATACAAAAAAATCCCCGATTTTACGTATATATTCTTAAGATATAAATGTTATAGTGGGCTATAAACTGCTATTAAAGACAATTTTAATGCACTTGCCACGTGCGGGATTCGAATTTAACATGCATTTCTAATTTTCACACCGTAAGAAGGGATCAAATGAACATCACTGTCAAAATCAGGAAATTACTTAATGGAACAAACACTCATCTCATTTGTCGTAAATAGTAAAGAGTTTCGTGTGAAACTGAAATATAAAAATCAAGAAAAGGATAAGCTTTTTTTATTGTGGCTATTCACATAAGATGTATTTTAATTCAGTTCCATGTGGAAAATTTCTTTAGTATATTATGGAATTGTTCTTGAAAAGAGTATTTACAGACCCGCGAGTTGCTCCCTTCAATTCCGCGGAACCTTGTGTCTTGTCTGAGATTACTGCTTACAGTGTAAAATGTTGACTGTAAAATGTGAGTCTATTGTCCGCAAAATACAATTTTTTTTTATTAATCTTTTTTTCAGATAACATTTCTTGATCTTGAAGATTAGGTTCTGTCCAATTTTCATAACAATCCATGAAGGTTTACAAGTATATCTTGAAGAAAAAATAATCCCGGACTGTCTGTGAATGTTAACTACAAATAACTATCTATCAGTAAAAAGCTGAAAAGTTATGGTTAAGGTGAAACAATAACTGAAATTATAAATTGTGACTAACCTGTACTGAAAGTCATACAGCAAGTTCTAAAACATAATTATTGTTTTGGTTTTTTTTCAGCTCATACCTGTTTGTTGCACTGCCATCTTCTTGGGCAAGTTTAATTTTTTCTGGTTCGACACTTAGAACATTATTTATTGTATCAAGGATGTCTGTCAAAGCCTAGAAAACAAAGATTGATGGTCAGTCAATATCTATGTACACACTATCCTCATATGTTATTTTGAAACCTCAGAGAATGATTTGATAACCATTATTTCAAAGACTGTTACATGTCTTTAAAATATGCAAATGCTCAGACACACTTAACTGTGAAATATTGGTCATATGATTTTATAGAACAGTTTTGTCGACAAATGATGCAAATGTAAACCTGATTGTATATCTCTTTGCCTTTAAATTTTTGAAACATTTGTGCGAAGAAAGACTTACTTTGAAATGAAAAATGGCGATAAAATAGCAGTTCTTTGACTATTTTGATGGTGCGTGTAGGGAATATTTGTCTTATGAATACTCTATCACAGATTCGTTGTTCAAATATAAAGATTATAAAAAATATTTGTAAATATATTACCTGGGTAAAAAAGTATAACAAAAATACCAAACTCCAAGGCAAATTCAGAGAGGGATAGTCCATAAAAACTGACAAAAATCAAACACTTTCAATCAACGGATCAAGTGAAAAACAACTGCCATATTTCTGCTTTAATTTAAATCCCTTTTTATAAAATAAAACATTTTTTTTAAATATTAAATCATCTATAACAAAACCTATGGGCTGAATCCTTTTCTTTATTTCCATCCTTTAGATCTCATGTTTACTTTTTTTTCTTTTGCAGGTTTTGCGAAATTGGTTTACATATGTTTACGTAAGATAACAATGTTTTCATAATTCCAAAGTAATAAATGACCTTGAACTTGAACTACTTAAGCCAAAGTCACATGAAAGTTAGGTCTGGTTTTGCCTCTTTCTTAGGGATTAAGACACTTATCAAACAATACTACATAAGGATAAAAAAAACATTATTTGGAATGAATAATAAGACTTAAGGAAAATTAAGCAAAATGTGAACAGTGAATTTAGAATTATCACCATCATTCTGTCCCAGATCTTGATGAAAAAGTTATATCTTTCTATTTGAATTTATCTTCGAAAAATCATTATAGACTAGTTTTGATAAAATTATGAGGTTGTGTTTGTCCCTCTTAGTATGTGTGAAAATACATTTACTGGTTTCCAACATTAACTTCACTCACATCGAAAACTGTTCCAATGAACTAAATGGGTTTTGCTCATTGTTTAAGGCCGTTCGGTGACACATCTTTGCTTAAAACTACGTGATTTGGTCTCTAGTGGTGGATAGTTGTCCAATTTGCAATCATACCATCTCGTATGAAATGTTTCGTAAAAAGTAAAATAACAAAAATACAGAACCCAAAGGACATTTCAAAACGGAAATTCAAATGGCAAAATCAAAAGCTCAAACACATCAAACGAATTGAAAACAACTGTAATATTCCTGACTTGGTACAGGCATTTCCTTATGTAGAAAATGGTGGATTAAATCTGGTTTTATTGTTAGCTTAACCTCCCACTTGTATGACATTCGCTTAAATTCCATTATATTGACAACAATGTGGAAACAAAACAAACAGACATAATAGATACAAATGTCAAAAATAGTCGTTTAAATTCACTCACCTTCGGATTCCAAGAGATAATACCCATGTTTCGTCTCTACATAACAATATAATACTCGAATGCCTAAGTTTAACAACTACATTTGAAAAACTAGGATTAATTTGGCATTTCGTTTGATATAGCTTCTTTCAAGTTTAAACAATTCAGATTCATATCAAAATTGCGTCCAAAAGGTTCTTTTACTCTTCAAGACAATTTATTTTGACCGCTTAATGCTTGATTAACATTAGTAAAAGTTCTTTCTGTGACTCTTGAGATGAATGATGTTTGCGAATCAGTTGGGAAATAAAATGTATGACGATTGTCTTACAAAGATTAAGCATATCTCCAAAAGAGGCATCGTTTGTGAACTACTATCTTTAAAAAATAGAACCTCAACAAAAAATCTTTATTATTCGAATCTAGAATGGCTGATTACAAAATTTCTGAAAAATAAGTTTGTCTCTCAAAGGAACTCTTCTGACACTTAACAAATCATTTAAAGTAAGATACAAATGTACAACTTACTTGGTAAAACACACACATTTGTTTTGTTAATGTCAAAATATATAAATGTTAACCGCTCATTGATTGTTTGAATAATGGTTTTATTTCCTTGTTGTGACTCTAGAGACGAAACATGGGTATCATGTCTTGGAATCCCGTAGGTGAGTGAATTTGAATGACTAAAATGTAGAGTATCTCTACAAAAGAGGCGTAATTGGTTAACTTATTAAATGCGACATTGTACAAATTTAGCACGACGAAAAATTAATCTTAATCAACCAAATACGTGTCGGCCAATGATTGTTTTCTGAATTTTTCGAATTAGAATTAATCAATGGCATGGAACTTGTGGAACGCTGATAGGAAAATTAAGAAGGAAGATAGTGAAATATAATGCATATGGAACTGTTATGAGTACTTTAGTGTTCCAGCTATGATTTGAACCTGGAGGGCGTGTATATGAAATAAACTGTTGACACAGAGATATGTCTCGAATGTCGGCATAAAATTCACAAAAAAGACAATCTGATTGACAGCAACATTGCTAATCAATTCAAAGTCGCTGGACCATGAACTAGTGGGCAGGGCCTCGAAAAGGTCAACAAATTGAGATGTACAGACAGTAATGTAATATTATAGAAAATATTGTTGTCTATTGTAAGTAGTTCCTATCAAACTAACTTAAGCAGAAAACTTAACATTGAAAATTGGTTATTCATTGAAAGTCACTGGACATGACCTACAAGGGCAGGGACTCAAAATTGACGTCAAACTGATATGTACAGACAGTAATGCAACTTCATAGAAAGTATCATTGATCTATCACAAGTTGTTCCTATTAAACGAACTTCAGCAGAAAACTTAACATTGCAAATTGCTAATTAATTCAAAGTCACTGGACCATGACCTAGGGGACAAAATAGTCGTCAAACTGATATGTACTGATAGTAATGCAACTTCATACAAAATATCATTGATCTATCACAAGCAGTTCTTACTTAGGGCATACGATACAGTTTTGTTCCCACGGTGATTTTTTTACGAAAATTTGCATACAACCTATTTTTCACTTAGGTGTAATAAAAATATACCTTCATGTGCTAAATTTAGAGATAAAGGGGTCGAAATTTTAGACATTTACTTTAAGTCACGGCTTCTTGGACATTTATATTCTTTGGACAGACATACTTAACATTTTTGTTTCAAAAGATAAACACATGCGGATTTATGTAAAAAGGTTTAGAATATCTGCGTTACAAAAGTATGTTCTTAATTTGTGTAACAATTCTTTGAAAATGATTCATTTTTATTAAAATTTAATGATTTTAGTAACAAGAGTGCACACGCTGAAATGTCTCGCCTGCTATACTGACCATTGATTTTATGTTGATAGTCCTAAATATAAAGTTTTACAACAAGTATCACATTAACATTTATGATCCAAGAAAATGAGGTCAAGGTCATATAAACCAAGCCGGAAATACATGTAAACCTTTAATATAATCATTCCATACACAGAATATAGATGACATATTGCTTATAATATAAAAGAAACAGACTAAACCATGGAAATTTTATATTGACCAATGAACCATGAAAATGAGGTCAAGGTCAGATCAACCCCGCCAGACAGACATGTACATCTTAAAATCCTTTCATGCATCAAATATAGTTATAGTTGACCTATTTCTTATAGTATCTAAGAAAAAAGTTAACCAGGAAAACTGAACATAGACCAATGAACCATGAAAATGAGGTGAAGGTCAGATGATACCTGCCAGACAGACATATACACCTTACAATCATTCCATTCACCAAATATAGTTGACCTATTTGCTAAGATTTTAAGAAAAAACAGACCAAAACGCATAAACTTTACATTTAGCAATGTACTGTGAAAATGAGGTCAAGATCAAATAAAACCTGCCAGACTGACATGTACATGGTAAAATGTTTCCATACACCAAATATAGTTGACATATTGCATACAGTATAAGACAAACAGACCAAACACAAAAACTTAACTATAACCACTGAACCATGAAAATGAGGTCAAGGTCAGATGACACCTGCCAGTTTGGCATGTTCACCTTACAATCATTACATACACCAAATATAGTAGACCTATTGGTTATAGTATCTGCGATATGGACGATCAAGAAAACTTAACCTTGTTCACTGATCCATGAAACGAGGTTGAGGTCAAGTGAAAACTGTCTGACAGGCATGGGGATCTTGCAAGGTACGCACATACCAAATATAGTTATCAAGAGAGAAATTAACATTACAAAAAATCTTAACCTTTTTTTCAAGTAGTCACTGAACCATGAAAATGAGGTCAAGGACAATTGACATATGTCAAACGGAAACTTCATATCATAAGGCATCATATACAAAGTATGAAGCATCCAGGTCTTCTACCTTCTGAAATATCAAGCTTTTAAGAAGTTAGTTAACGCCGCCGATGCCGCCGGATCACTATCCCTATGTCGAGCTTTCCCTCTGCATTTTTTGCTGCATATTTATCTAATTTAAGAAAAATTCATCGATGATTTTTTCATAAAATTGGTACAAATAATCTTTATACAGTATCAAATCAAATGTCCTTTTAAAAAAGAGGGGTCCATGTTAACAATTGTCGACGACAACGACGACGACGTCAACAGGAAAAGCAATACCCATGTCTCGCCTTCCGCGACTTTCGTCGAAGGCGAGACAAAGATAATGATATATATAATAATTATACAAATGTTTTTCTTCCTTACGAAAGTATTAACATTTATAAAGTTAAAATAAACGATCAACTATATGGCTCAACAAGTATAAAACTACTATATGTAGATGTTGGCACACTTGTCGTTTTTCTTAAGATTATTAAGCGTTTTTGCGTGTTAATATTGATACGAAATAATAATAAATAAAAATACATAGACCACACTTATTTATCAGATTAAAAAAAAATTATGTCAACTATATAACACATATTTTAAAATAAATCATACTTTACCCTTTCATTCAATTTTGAAACATTAGATGCCTTCAGTAATATCTCAGCAGTGTTTATGATATCAATGCTCGTAAGTAGAGTTGGGTCAGAAGTCAAATTGTTTACAGTTTCTAGAACTTTGTTTACTGTGTTTTCGTCAATATAAACCTGAGAAGAAGAAAAATAAACGGATTCAGACTTAAAGCGCAAGGTAGAGAACCACATGTCTATAAGTAAGCACAAAAAAACTAACGTAAACGTTCTGTCAAAAGCATTCCTGTTAGAAAAAAAAAAATAGTACGGGTCTAATGAAATTCTTTAAACACTTTGAACATATTATCACATATGGGATTTTACAAAATGAAAATACCTTGTCAAATGAAAAATAGAAAAAAAAACTCTCCTCCCTAAAAAAAAAACCAAAATACAAAAAAAAAAACAACAGCATCAAAAACAAAAACAAAAATAAACTAGAAAACTTATTTCTTTCTTGCCTAGCAATTATCACTTTATCTAATTAATAAAATCATTTTTCTTTCCATCATAATTAAATTGTACTGGAATTTTGGAAATTTAAATTTTCATCTGACATTCATGATTCACATCCAATTTTTTATGGAAATATTCTTTATAAAGCACAAAAATGTCAGTATTCACCTCTGAAACTAACAAAACCTTTAAATAGACTTATCAAGAAGGGATATAGTTACGATACTGTTGTCAGGTCATTAAAGATTGCATATTTTGGCGTTAATATTGATTCACTTATAGGGTCTTTGCATCGGCACTAAACACATTTATTTAAAAACCAGTTGTTGGCATGACACGGGTTATGTTCTTCTCATATATGTTATGATGGTATGATACTAAACCCCTAACGGGAAGGATTGTGCCTGATATTCATATGATGAAGACATAATCTTTCAATCAGTTTAATTGAAGTCTGGAGCTGGCATGTCAGTTAACTGCTAGTAGTCTGTTGTTATTTATGTATTATTGTCATTTTGTTTATTTTCTTTTGTTACATCTTCTGACATCAGACTCGGACTTCTCTTGAACTGAATTTTAATGTGCGTATTGTTATGCGTTTACTTTTCTACATTGGCTAGAGGTATAGGGGGAGGGTTGAGATCTCATAAACATGTTTAACCCCGCCGCATTTTTGCGCCTGTCCCAAGTCAGGAGCCTCTAGCCTTTGTTAGTCTTGTATTATTTTTAATTTTAGTTTCTTGTGTACAATTTGGAGTTTAGTATGGCGTTCATTATCACTGAACTAGTATATATATTTGTTTAGGGGCCAGCTGAAGGACGCCTCCGGGTGCGGGAATTTCTCGCTGCATTGAAGACCTGTTGGTGACCTTCTGCTGTTGTCTGTTCTATGGTCGGGTTGGGTTGTTGTCTCTTTGACACATTCCCCATTTCCATTCTCAATTTTATTTTTATGATACCTTTGACTATTTTGTGGATTCACAAGGATGCACACGCTGAAATGACTTGGCTACTTTATTGATCGTGGTTGAATTTATGGTGGAAGTCTTTAAGATAAGGTTTTAATGATCCATGTAAACGAGTTCAATGTCAGATGAACCCTGCCAGACGGACATGTACACTTTACAATCATTCCATACGTCAACGGTAGTAAACCTTCTGCTTATAGTATCGGACAAACGGACTTAACAACAAAAAATTAACATTGACCAACAAATCACGAGAATGAAGCCTAGAAAAGATGAATTATGCCAGACAGACATGTACACCTTACAATTATTCAATATATCAAATATAATGGTTGACATTTTGCGTAAAGCATACGTGAAAAGGACATAATCATGAAACTAAACATTGACCAATAAACCCTGAAAATGAGTTTAAGTTCAGATGAATCCTGCCGGAAGGACATGCAATATTCCCATCTCTTAATATAGGTGATCTATTGCTAATAGTATAAGGGATATGAACATGACAACGAAAACTTTTCCTTGATCACTGCTCGATGAAAATGAAGCCAAGGTCATGCAACCCATTAGGGACGGGCATGTTGTCCTTGCAAAAATTCCATGTACCAAATACAGTTATTTTATAACTTATGATAAATGAGTTTTTCAAGTGAAAACAATAGTTTTTCAGCAGTCACTGAACTATGAAAATGAAGCCAAGGACAATTGACAAATGACTGACAAACAATTCAGTGTAGATAAGGTAAGAAATATCCAACTATTCAACCATCTGGAATATAAAGCTCTATACAAATAGTTAACGGCGTCGCCACCACTGGATTATGATCCTTATGTCTCGCATTCGGACTACATATAGTAAGTCAGGGTACACTTTATAATGTTTTCTTCAGATACATGGTTGTTAAAAAAAGACCCACGTAATGCAAGTCGCAAACTCTTAGACAAAACAATATAATGCAAATCTTTCACGAGTTATCGTCACATTATTTCTTCTTCAAATATTTGATAACTTAATTGTATTCAGAAATGAAAATCAACCATCCCAACACAATTAATTAATTATTTAAAAAACTTGTTTCTTGTGATAATACAGCAAAAAAAATGCTATATTTAATATAAATACTTCAGTCAAATTCTTGAGAGTATCTGTGACTGCAGACGTTGAAAGATCTCCAAATAAACATTTTTGGTTGACCTTTATATCAACAATTTTTGTTGTAATGCCAATACCACCAATACATCTGGCTGTAGCAAGAGATTGCTTATCTGAAACGATATTATTAACATTTACTTTGTCATCATTACCAAAAACATCTACGGTAAAAACAAAAACAAAAAAAAAACAAAAAACAAAAACAAAACAAAAGCGATCTCAAAGTTTTGAGATGCAGACATGTTAAAACTTGAAACGCTTGATTTGATTGATGTGTGTTGCTTGCTGAACGTCACTAAGCAAACATATAATGCATGTTCAGCACGAGAACAAATTAACAATTAATGCAATACGTAAGTCATGTAGATCAAGCGGGATGAAGGGCGGGACATTTGAACTACCACTGGAACATAAGTTTTTTTTATAGGGACTGATATTTTGACTTCCAACAAGCCAACTACGAACCCTTTTTCAGGGGTTTAGTAAAGTGGCACTGTTTCTACACGAGTCATCGAATATAACGCCTCTATCTCGACCAGGCGTAGCTTTATATTTATAAATCCCGCACAACCAAACGAACATCCAACTTAAGGGTTTCACTGGCGGAACGTGAGAAGTCCTAGGGATGATCATAATGCTATATCGTAGTCAACCGTTGGGATTTTAAAATATACTGTGTTCTTATTTCTTCCATGTTCTACTTAATTTCTTGATTATCGTTAAGTTACGATTTTCAATATCAGGATACATATCAAAAATAAGATTTGGTCAGAGTATTTTCTCTATCGATATTCTTGAAATTAGCATATCACTAACACTAGGAATGGATTACCGTTGCTATATTTGGCAAAACTTTTCCGAGTTTTGGGTCCTCAACGCTCTTCAACTTCGTATTTTATTTGACCTTTTAACTTTTTTGATTCGAGCGTGACAGGTGAGTCTTTTATAGACGAAACGCGTGTCTGGCGTACACAATTTTAATTTTGGTAGTTCTGATGATTTTAACATTGAGGGTAACTTCTAAATATGCGTTAGCAATGCATTATGAAATATCAATGTTGTCAATTAGTTTCTTTATATGCATTATAACGGTGCTTTTTTAAAAAGATTGACTGACATGCTGTGTACAAAAATGAGTCTCATAAATTAATATAAAATATTCAAACCTGTTATGCAAATTTCTGAAGATAAAGCCATTGATCCAAACTTTACTGGTAGAAATTCTATTGTGGTGCCAAAATCGGGTATAAATACCTGTCCCCCACAAAATTCTGTAACATATATCAAAACGAAATGTTGAAATACAGTGGAGAAAATACTTTGGGATTGAAAGAGGATAAATAGAGGCTATCTCATCAATGAAAATTGAAACGGTTACTTTTGATGTCATTTCGCCAAGCTTATACATTTAGATATCTAATATGTGTTATACCTCCATTATATTTTCTGCGTATAATCACATTATGCATACTTTGACTGCCACAACCTTTCGGATTTTTCGTATTTTAATGCTTTTCTTTGTATCTCATCTGGCCTCCCAATTGTTTTGATTCGAGTGCCAATGATGAGTCTTATGGAATCTGATGTTCAGTAGTTGTCGTTTGTTGATGTGGTTCATATGTGTTTCTCGTTTCTCGTTTTTTATATAGATTAGACCGTTGGTTTTTCCCGTTTGAATGGTTTTACACTAGTAATTTTTGGGGCCCTTTATAGCTTACTGTTCGGTGTGAGCCAAGGCTCCGTGTTGAAGACCGTACTGTGACCTATAATGGTTTACTTTTATAAATTTTGACTTGGATGGAGAGTTGTCTCATTGGCACTCATACCACATCTTCTTATATCTATATTATGTAGACGAAACGTCTGGCATACCAAATTATAAGCCTGGTGTGTTTGATGCTTTTTAACAGATCCCGGAACACTCTTTTTAAACACGAACACCTTCATAAGGAAACATATCTTTTGAAAAGTAAAAAAACCAAAACCATGGTGACCAGAAGGTGTGCTTCCACTCAAAATGGTAAAAGTAAAAAGTAAAAAAAAAAAAAACGTTTTCAAAGATCGTGCGAAGTTTCGAGTCGCATGTTTTCAATTTGGAAAAGGGATTTTACCTATGAAGAAGAATGCCTTAATATCAAGTTTATCTGTGATACATGTAAATAACCTGAATTTAATTTTTTAAAAATGAAACAAAATTGTCAAGAAATCTTAGAATGACATTATAGGATTATGAAAGATTTTTCTTCCCGTCTTTAATATATTTTCATATAACAATTTAAATACATTATGGGTAAATACCTCTACTTTCATTTATTGCTACTCAAAATAAATTTGATAGTCACTCACAAAGTTTAACCACGATAGAACTGTCTGACTGACAATAATTCAATTGCAGACTTACGTGTGCTTTGAATTATTAGCGAAGATGGAACAAAACTGTAACTTGATGAGACTTCTCTACGACGTCTTGTTCTGTCACCTTCCTGAAAATAGCGCACGACTCTTTCCCTTAGATCGGAAAGTGTTCTTTGTTCCAAAGTTATCGAGTATGGTTTATAAAGTTGAAGCATGATCTCAAAATTCATCGAATTTCCACTTTCACTACAAAGATAAAAGCTCTTCTTGAGGTGATACTTTCTGTTCTAAACAGTACTCAGTGGCTTAGACACGGGCTTAAACTTGAAAAATTACCATTGACCAAAGAACCATTTAAATGAAGTCCAAGGCCAGGTGAACCCTGACAGACAGACATAAACACCTTGCAATCAATTCATAAACAAAATATAGTTGACCTATTGATATGGACTGGTCATGAAAAACTAAACATTGTTCATTAATCCATGACATGATGTGAAGGTCAGGTGAACCCTGTCTCACAAGCACTTAGACATCGCCCACCAATTGTAAAACTTTTTTGTGTCAAAGACTCTAAGTCTACGGCTTATGAAAATGATGATCTCTTATGGTTAAACCAAAGACATTTACCAATCCAATGTAAGGCCTTTACCATCATATTTTTTTTTCATTAACGGATTTTTAGGTTAGGAACTGTTGAAACTTTCGGAGCACTTTAGTCAACGCCCGGTTTTCTATGAAGTATTTTATGGACTGTTCTGTCTTTTTGTCTCTCTTCCTTTTGCCATTGTGTTGTCTGTTTTTCTTCGACTTATGGATTTAGAATCCCCCCCTTATTTTGAATCATATATACATTTTATATCTAAACACTTCATAATGTTAAAACCTGAAAAATGTACCAAACCACCTATGTTCAAAGATAAAATCAAAACTCGAAACACAGAAAATGCAAGATCGTCATTTGTTTTTTTTTTTTTTTGGTTTGATAAACTCCAAGAAGAAGAAGTAAAAACAAAATGCATATGTCAAAGTTTAAAACCATCGCAATGCAACCAAGTAACAAAAAAATCCTGAAGGAATCGCATGAACTCCAAAACGAGCCAGACCGGGTGCGTCGATAGAGTAAGCGTCTCCTGTTAGGCATACATCACCCGCCATGCGAGCTAACACTCAGTCGAAATGTCACAATCGGGAATAGAATTACAGATCAGACGACTGTACAGGTATATATGGAAAAAAGTAAAATGACAAAAATATCGAACTCAAAGGAAAATTCAAATCGGAAAGTCCCTTATCAAATGGCAAAATCAAAAACTAAAACACATCAAACAAACGGAAAACAACTGTCATATTCTTGACTTGGTACAAGCATTTCTTAAAGATGAGACCACGAAAACAGATCGCTATTTAGTTGAGACAACGACACATTGTATCGGTTAACTAATTCATGATGGTGATCGTAAAACTTATGTGGTGTCGATTTTAGTCGTGCTTCCTCATAACGCTGTTGGAGCAGTTTTGTGTGAGAAACACAACATTGTTAATGAATTCCGTAAAGTGTGAACATGCACGAAAGTGACCATACAATTCAGCAGAGGTTATTAAACTGCTGAGAAATGGGAAAGGCGACAATTGGAAATTTGAAATCATCATGTATGTAAGTATGGATATGCTTTAAATATAATCTATACATTATTGACATAAAACAACAGAGATTTGTATAATTTCATTATACATCTGAATTTATCGATCGTTGTACTTACAATCATTTGAATCTAACAATGAATGTGCTATAGCACTATTTTTTACGTCTAGATATACACATAAACGAGATGACCGAGAGGTCTAGGTCGCTGGACAAACTGTAGGCGGTGTTGCCACGATGTAAAAGCATGGTTTCAATTCCCGCTGAATGGGGAACATTGTTTTGCTTAATTTCATACTAACTTAAGCATTATTGTATATATACCTGAAACCAACAACCCTTGTACTATAGTATCCAGTTGGACTTTCTCCCAAAGATTGAACTGTATTCATCCACTCTCTGCGTAAATTGTCAGTTGGTGAAAAAAAAGTTAAAGTCTGTGGTATTGGCAGCTCAGGTTCTGTTGCTAAATTATACTTAACAATTTCAGTTGATGACATGGACGGAGAGTAGTCTATTGATCCCATAAACAAAATTGACTTTGTCACTGCAAAATAAGTTGAAAACTTCGAACTAAGACTAATATATCTAGCATGTGTTTATTCTTTATTGTTGAAGAATCAAGACTTTTTCCTATGTCAACTTATTCTGGCAAACACAGAAAAGGTAATACTAAGAACATTATCAAAGAAATGAATAGTAAATATATGAGTAAAATCGAAAAACAAATAACTTGAATAATTGCCACTTTTTTAAGAGATGAAGAATGTCAGACTCAATTGTATTCAGTGGCACAATACAATTTCGTGCTCATTTCTAAGGATAAATAAGTTTGGATATCCTAACGAATGCTATTTTTATAGTCTAGTTAGCCGAGTTGCCAATGCCGCCGGACATAATGCAGGCGGTGTTCCCAAGATGAAAAAGAAGCATGCGTTCAAATCCCGATAAGGGAAGGACACAAAATTGCTACTGATGGAGAACGTCGGTCGGAAAGTTGACACATAAAAAAAAAAACAACACGGAAACGTAATATGATCGCATATGAAACAACTATCCACCAGAATTAAATGAAGTGGATATGAGCAACTATAGACCACCGTACGATCTCCGAAAATGAAAAGAAGAAAAAAAACCTACCGTATAGTTGGCTATAAAAGGCCCCGACATGAAAAATGTGGAACAATACAAACGAGAAAACCAACGGCCTAATTTATAACAAAACAATTTACGAAAAACAAATATGACAGACATGGACCAACGACAACCACTGAACTATAGGCCCCAGACTTGGGACAAACACATAAAGAATGTAGCGAGATTAAACAATTTTTGTGAACGCTCAACCTTCTCCCTTATTTTGGACAGTGGTATAACAGCACATCATAAGAACAATCGGTAAAAATCAGTTGCAATTGCTTAACTAAAAAGTCGGTACGAGGAATAAAAACAACTACATAAAATCAATAGACACAAAACACCTATATACGAGTACTCGCAGTAAAATAGTCCAAAACCAATTACAACTAACAAATAAATCATGTCCTCATGACTAAAGTTTTTATATACATAGGCCTTGTAGTGTTTTAAGATTAATCAAACAATATCATAGTAATTTCAACCATCAAGAATACCTTGTACAATTTAATGTCTCACGTATGATGTAATTCAATTATGATAGAGTAGCAGACCCCTTTTTCCGTATTAAACTATGTTTACCAACACATTCATTTCAAGAGTTGTAGGGGCTGCCAGAGCAAGTTTATTATTTATAGGTTATTTTCATTTCATTTTTATTCATACAAATTTGAAATTAAGAAGAGTTAGAAAAATCTGCATTGCATGAAAAAAAAAAAAGCAGAATATCTACTTTTTTGAAGGGAAATAGCTCGAACTTTGATAACTTGACCGTTTTAATAGGCCACGTTCATTCAAGGAACTGATGATAATTCAATCTGGTGGTAATATGGCATTGTAGTAAACGTAAATGGTCATCAGTATTTCTTCCTAAGATTTATGTCATTAATTTTTACAGGGAACTATCTTGATCATTTAGATACTTCTTTAAATGAATGAAATTGTAGGACCAAAGAATTCGTGTTCGGTATTTTATTTGGTAAAAATCTATTTTTGCATTTCAATTTTGGGGTATTATATCTATATTTTTCGTACTGAACATTTTTTGCAGATAGAAAACACTACGATGTAAAGCTGAAGTAAAAACTTACCATATGTGTGGCCTTACTATTTTATTTCTAACGCCCTAAACAAACATCGTAGTATGAAAGATTTAACACGGATCTTATACGTTTTTAAATGAAATATTGTTTTATTTTCTAGTCGTTACTGTAATCGTTTGCCACAATGCATTATTAATAAAAGGATATATCATCTATATTATAAATATAGACAATAAAACCAATGACGTATGTTCTGTAGGAAAAGATTTTTCACGAAGGCATACTTTATGGGTATTTTAATTGTGGCAGCAGAGCATAGAAAATATTCACATCAACAACTTGGTGAGATGGAAATTCTGGCATCTGAAATAAAACCGAAATTCCAGTGCATACAAATTGTAGGCTTTTTTTCACTTTAACATTATATTGTTGTGTTTTCCGTCTTAGTGTGCAAAAAGTAGAAGAGCAAAAATAAATAAATGGGGAATGTGTCCATAGGACACAGATGACGACCCCGCTTGCATATAACGTTATAAAGGGACATAACTCAAGAACTGTTAAAGTGATTCTACCCAAATTTGTACTTGATCTGATTGTAATAAGCATTGTGTATATGTTTCATAACATCTAGTTTAGGCAAACTTAAGTTAGAGAACAGAAACGAAAAAGTTTTTTTTCCATTTGTAAAGGGGCATAACTCTAGAACGGTAAAAGTGAAGCCATCAAAATTCAAACTTGATCTGTGTTTTTCATTAATAAGCATGGTGTATAAGTTTCATAACTTTTGGTGGAGCCAAACTAAAGTAAGAGAATGGAAACGAAAAATTCAGCAATTTTTCCATTTGGAGAGGGGCATAACTCTAGAACGGTAAAAATGACGCCACCAAAATTCAAACTAGATCTGTGTTTTGTGGTAATGAGCATTGATTATAAGTTCTAAAATTTAGTTGAGGCAACCTAAAAATAGAGAACGAAAACAAAAAATTCAGCAATTTTTCCATTTATTAAGGGACATAACTCTAGAATAGTAACAGTGACATCACCAAAATTCAAACTAGATTTTTGTATTGTAGTAATGAGTATTGTGCATATGTTTTATAATATTTGGTTGAGGCAAACTAAAGTTAGAGAACGGAAACGAAAAATTCAGCAATTTATCCATTTATGAAAGGGCATATGTGTATGTTATAACTCTAAAACGGAAAAAGTGACGCCACCAAAATTCAAACTTGATCTGTGTTTTGTGTTAATAAGCAGTGTGTATAAGTTTCATAACATTTGGTTGAGGCAAACTAAAGTTAGAGAACGGAAACCAATTTTGGGACATACGGACGTACAGACGGACAAGGGTAAAACTTAATGCCCCATCCGCTACGGGGGGCATACAAATCAGAAGCTGATATTTTGGTTCTCGATTTTACATACCTGGTTCCTGATACAAAAATTCTGCCGACCATTTTTGTTTGTTATGTAACCCTGTGACTTTACATAGATGAATTCCATTACGACGCACGCGTGGGTAAATAGAGGTGAGGTCGCCTGCATATTGTAATCCTGTACCGTCCACCGCAAATATACGATCTCTAGCAATGGGTTTATAATTAATGGAAATATATAAATTCTCTCCTGGTAATAATGGTCTTGAAAGATTACATAACGTGTGCATAATTCTGTCATCCGACAAGGGTATCACACTTATACTTATGGACATCTGATTGTCTAAAAATGTAAAAAATAATACAAACTTAAAAATCATAATACATATACATGAAATAAGATTTCAACTGAAATTTTATTATTTTCCTCGACTCAAATAGCAAATTACAAAATATATCCAATATTTTCCTGAAAAATGTCGCCTCCGGATCACTATCCCTATGTCGACCTTTCTGCGACAGAAGTCGCAGGCTCGACAATAATCATGAATCCAAGACAAAACGTTACATCTTTTTTTAATTTCAGAATGAAATTCTGCTGCCAATATTCATCTTCGTCCAAATTATTTTCTGCTATTAAGAACGATGATTTCTTGTCTTGTCGGGTCAAACATAAGGTCGTACACAGTTTAAATGTACTTGTGTATGTGCCAGCTGTGCCAGCTGTGCCTGTCTGTGCCTTTCCCAAGTCATGAGCCTGTAATTCAGTGGTTGTCGTTTGTTTCAATTGCTGTATATCATAAAAACTATTTGTTTTTCGTTCATTATTTTGTACATAAATCAGACCGTTAGTTTTCTCGTTTGAATTGTTTTACATTTGTCATTTCGGGGCCTTTTATAGCTGACTATGCGGTAAATGTTTTAGTCATTGTTGAAGGCCGTACGGTGACTTATAATTCTTAATTTCTGTGTCATTTGGTCTCTTGTGAAGTGTTGTCTCATTGGCAACCATACCACATCTTCTTATTTTTTATTTGTACCAAACAAAATAACAAGTGTATCTTGGAATTGAAATTATTTTTTTCAATCACATTTAATAATGTATAATTTCTCATACTAAATACTAGATCGACAGAGCTTTTTCTGATATTATCGAAACTTTATTGCATAAAAGAAAAAAGCTTAAACGGGTAATACGATATTACACAATACATTTATGTAATATGACAAAAACTAGTCATTCGTAATAATAATTGATAAAAATGGACATTTTATCGACATAATTCGAATTCGAAATTGTGATCTTTCATAATTTAAATAATTTTCATAGTATTTCATTCATAGTTTATTTAAAAAAATAAGTTTTAACTATTGTCCATATTATCATTTTGTCCCGTGGAGGGTTGAAGACTGTATGGTGCCCTCTCGATATCGTTTGGTTAGTTTTGTAGTTGGGTTATTGTATCATCGGCGCACAACCGCCACATTTCCTTTTATTCATCATATACATAATCTGGTTCAAAATAGAAACAACAGATGTATAGTTTGCTAGAAAAAAAATGAAAAACAAATTATTTTTTGACTAGCTGCAACGTTTTACAACTTTAGGTAGACGTCTTTAACCATTTGACTAGTGACGCGGCACACGATATCCCCGCAGAGTCCATCATGGACAAACGGAGAAAAGATTCTAGGTGAAACAGAATCAACGCTTTCTGTTTTTGTAATTTATTTGATCGAATGCCAGTTAAAAAGAGCAGTGGCTATATTAATGTTCTATCTTAAGAAAAACGCGAAAAGTAAAAATGAATAGTATACGGTTTGCCGATTACGCCCACCAAATTTGGTTAAACAGGCTTTGTTCTTCTTAGTCAATTGATAAATTGTGTAACTTCGTTTTTTCACAAGTGCCTTCAAACAAACTATCAATTTTAAGGTGAAACAAATATGTATTAATTGATATCAAACCATGACAAATTTGATCAAAACCATGACGAATTTCTAGACACTTTACTGAACCATGTCAATCGCTTAACCAAACCATATCAATTTCGATATTTTGGTTATCTTGCGTTAATTTCTTAAAAACAACAATTCCAAGGTAGATCGTTTGACTTACAATATAGATTCAAACATCTTATTTGCTTTTTATTTGTTCATTTGAAAAGAACTGAGGCAATCGTTCAGGGAAGCAACCTAACTAAACCATGACCAACTTAACCAAACTATGACAACATCACTGAACTAAACGCTCCTCGATATGACGACGTTACTACCAGTGGAAATGAGAGGAAAATTGTTTGACATGTCAAAAATTTTACGAATGTCCACGGATTGGTTTTTCCGTAAATAACTCGTAACATTCCGTAAGTATCGTAAACTGCTCGCAAGAATTCGCTAAGAGTCAGAATTTTTTCAACGATTTATTACGGTTAGTTTACGATTTGTTCACGGATTATTTACGATTATTTACGGATTTGCTACCGTACCAACCGTAGTACGAACTGGGAGCCGTCATTGACTTTTGAAAATAATTGGTGTATACACTAAATGTAAACGTTTGTTTCATGAATCATAATCAAAGTATTTGGAGGATTTTTATCTGCAACTTGGTATTAATTTCACGTGGATATTTTTCGTATTTATAGCAAATAATATTGTGTGTACTCGAATATGCTTTCAAGTAAACGATTGCAATTATCGTTGCACGAACGGTTTGTAATTTAGATTTATTTCCCCTGAAATTACAAAGGCAAAAAGAAGCTAAAGTATAAAAGCACATGTATAATCTATCCAATGTTCGCCTGTTATATTATGAATACAAGATAAAATGAATTGGTTGATTAAAGATATGAAAATGAGCCAATTCACCAGACAAAATCAACCTCATTAATAATGTATTTAAAATGATCAAATAATACTAAAACTATAATAGGCAGGGCGGTACTAAAAACCTTAATTGTATATTGGACTGTGCAAGTCCCTCAAAATTGTCAAAATAACATATAAACCATTAAATGTCATGGTCACATTTGAAAATATTTATCATATTAAAAATTCTTATATTTTTCGCCATTTTCACAAAAATCATCTTGCACATCTTTGATATATTTTTCCTATAATAAAATTACAAAGAAAGGGTCAAATTACCACTCGCAAACTTTTTCAAGCAGAGTGTCAGTGCAATTTACTATAATTAGGTGACAAATTGTTCTTGTTTTTCTTTTATTTCAACAATTCTAGAAATTGGTGGGTTTTTTTTTATCGTCAATAGAGTAGTAAAAATATTTATTTTTCAATATTTTTCAGTTTACTTTTTTATAATGCATTTCATTTCTAGAAAAAAAGTCTTCAGTTGTTGATAAAAAAAAAACATTAGAAGGATGCCCTTTTTCTCACTTAATATGAAATCCCAGCTCTCTCATCATTTCAAGATTTTTTTTTTCTCTGTTATTGTCGAAATTACTTGAATAATAATAACTAATTTCAAAATTACGCAAGAACTACGTTGAGAAATCAACACAATTTTGACATGTCAACGTATCTGAGCAACATCAGAAATACGTGTTTAACAAAGTCGTTCATAGGTGGTATTTTAATTATTCCAAATTCTGTTTATGCGTAAGAAAATATTCTTTCAATTTTTTTTTCAAATATTAACAAAAAAACAAAAAACAAAAACAAAAACCAATACATTAAACACAAAGAAAAGCAAATCTATATGTTCATTTCAAAGGCCATCTCAACTCGGTTCGTGTAAGGTCTGTTTGATTCATACACTTGTGCACTGACTAAATAATCTTATATAGAATCAAAAACTAAGTGAATTTAGTGTTCTTTAATCGGTGAAATCGTTATCAAATAAAAAAAAGTTAAGCTAGATTTTGCTGGTATGCAATTCGATTTCTTAAATTTGATCATGATTAATAAGATAATTTAATGCATTAAATGATAACTCCAAAACAACACTAACGGTTGAGTTACGAACCAATCGTACCTGATACGTAGCAAATCGGGAAACCTCTATTACGAGTGATTACGTGTTGTTTACAATTTTGTGTTTCCATGACTTTATGGATTGTTAAAGAGTTATTAAGCGAACTTTTCGTGTAGTTAAGAGTACTTTATGAATAGATATATTTTCTTACGTATTGATGATACATTGAGATTTGCAGGATTTATATGTTTTGGCAAGGACTCGTTAATACTCGTAACTATTCGTAACAACACGTAAACAAGTAAACAAGTTTTAACTGACACAAAAAACGTCGATGAATAGTAGCATTCTGTAATGTACTCGTTACAATCCGTAAAATGCTCGTAAAATGCTCGTAAGATGCTCATAGTTATCCGCGACAAATCGTAACAAATCGTTGAATTTTGCCGTAAATATATCATAATAATCCGTAATAAACCGTAAATACTTGTAGTAACTTGTAACAACTCATAAATCGGTCGTAAAAGTGGCCAAGTAGTGAGGATCTGTGAATTTGAGCGATCCATAATGACTCGTAAGAAAAATCTGTGTATGTGAAGGGTCATCATAGGCCCTAACTATTGTAAAATTAAGATTTTCAGGCGATTAGGAATCGTTGTGTCATGCATCATAAAATTTGTTATTTGTGGACTGCAATTCAGAGTTTCGTGCTGTCATCAAAACCTGTACATAGCTTAAGAATATTACAATAGCTAAATTGATATATTGATTTTTTTAAAACTAAACTTCACCTACCTCAATAGCTTTGAGTCTGGAGTTGGTTTTTAATTGTGTCCTTTCCGATTACTTCAGCTCTTCAACGAATGTTTTAAGTTTCGAATTTCTAAATACAATAGTGATTGGCATCGAGCATCATGTTGAGCCATTATTAGTTGAAATGCGTATTTGGTACATTTAAATAGGTATCGTATGTTAATTATTTATATTTATTATATATCTATCTTCAGCTTAGCCTAGTGCAAAGCCAATTCCAACTAAGGAATAAATCATTTTCTCCTAAACTAAAGTATCAATAAATACACATACACGGTTTCAATGTAAAGACATCATTAATATTATTACTTCTGAGAAACGCACTACCTTGTACAATGCCAAAATATAAGTAAACAGTATCCACAGGATGTAGGATTATGAGTATTTACAACTGTACATATATTTTTAGTAATGGTTTAATTTCTTCAAAATCAATGTAAGTACCGATAAAAACAATATCTAAAGATATTACTACGGTGTTTATTGGTGAACTTTAAGAATAAGTTTATTCAAAGGATCAGTGAGTTTACTTGGATCGTATCTAAATTTGTATTTAACCTCGCTACATTCTGTATGTGCGCATCCCAAGTCAGGAGCCTGAAATCCAAGAATTATCTTTGGTTGCTGTCTACCGTAATTGTTTTTCGTTTACTAGTATTTCTAGTACAATTCTGGAAGTTTGTTTTCTCTTTTGAATTGTTAGTCATGCTGGGACCTTTTATAGCTTACTTTACAGTATTGCTTTTACTTGTGGATACTTTTCTCGAGCTCATTTGGAACCATTCCACATCTCCTTAATTTTAAATTGCTGTTAGGGATTTTTACATGGTTGCTTGCACTTATAACGACAATGACAAATTTAAAAATCACACTTAATTTAGATGCAAGTTTTTAAACGACAGTTTAATAGATTTAGATAGGGGGAACAAAAAACCGGCAAAATAAGACGTTTGCATCAAAAAAGCACACAGTAAGTATGTTATATCAACACCTTGACCTGAACAACTGACTGCATTGTCAATGGCGTATCGGGTAGTATGAATACAACGTTGGCATACTCTGCTCATATTGTTTTCGTAGTTTCAATTATATTCCATTTACCCAGAAGAATGATATGAAGCAAATGTTCAAACTAGTGACAAAGACCATCTATTTATATGTGTGGCTTTTGTTTATATCTAACTGCTCAGCCTACACATTGGTGATTATTGAAGCTTACCACATACAGCTGGACTGGAAATAATTACCCCTTCCTACATTTACTCATGCACATGCACATCAGTACACTTGATTTTACTGAGAAGATTTGTTTGTGTCTAATAGCACTATGTTTTATTGTCCCGCAACAACGTTGTCGGGGCCATATAGTTTTACCCTTAACCGTCATTCCGTCATTCAGCAACGAAGTTATACGGACTTTTTTTTTAAACACCTTCAAATATTGAGCTGATTTTCAGTATATGAGTGTACTATGATGAGTTACAGATCGAGTTTACGTTTGGTTCCGCTGCGTTAATTTTTTTCCGAAATTACGGGCTTTGGACTTTGAAAATCTCGTGAAAATAACAGTTATACAGACTTTCATACTCAAATTTCCACTCCTAAAAATGGTTTCAAGCTTTTTTTGCGAGCGGGGCCATTCATGTTGTTCCGACACATCTAGTTTGTTACCTTCCATCCATTCAGATCCAGATTCAGATTCTTGATTTCATATGGCTTAAATATAAAATGAAGGCGATGTGGTATGGTTGCCAATGCGACAGCTATCCGCCAGAGTTAAATGACTTTCTAGTTGACTGCAGGTTTTATCCATGTACGACATGTCATACCCCCCCCCCCCCCCACCCCCCTTGCATATTATTAAGGTTTAAATAAACTGTGCGATATATGTCCCCACCCCTAAACCATATATATTCTTAATGATTTTAAATAATCATGACAAAACCTTTCATTTTACCTCAGATTTTTTGCTTGGGGTCATGACTTTTTTCCATAGGCCTTCAGATATTGAGGTGATTTTTAGTATGTGAGTCTACTATGACGAGTTACAGATCGAGTTTACGTTTGGTTCCGCTTCGCTGATTTTTGCTGAAATTACGGGCTTTATATTTTGAAAATTTCATGAAAATAGCAATTATACGGATTTTCCCCCTAAACGTCTTCACATATTGAGCTGATTTTTAGTATGTGAGTTAACTATGGTGAGTTACAGATCAAGTTTACGTTTGGTTCCGCTCCATTGATTTTTGCTGAAATTACGGGCTTTGGACTTGAAAATTTCGTAAAAAAAAAACAGTTATACAGACTTTCATTTTCAAATTTCCACTCCTAAAAATGGTTTCAAGCTTTTTTTGCGAACGGGTCCATTCGTGTCGTTCCGAAACATCTAGTTCTTAGATGTTCCCTTCAAAAATATTACATATTGTGTCTAACAATTGCTAATTAATAAAAAGTCTCTTTATTTTATTATTAAAACATTCAGTTAAGAATTGAACTCTTCTTTTTGTAATTTTATTTGGGTTTAAAAGCGTTGACAGATGCACATTTTGTATGCAGCGTGAAAATGCTTCATAATTTAAATGTGCTCACTATTACCGCTTGTAATAATATGCTTCAAAATGTTTATAATCAGCTTTATATATCGGTGTAAACTTCTGAGTAGGTGATAGGCTTAAGTTCTGTCATATTTACCTGTGTCAATATTATTATACATATTATTTTTGTAAATAATTGTTTGTTTTGATATTGTAACACAGTGATGACTGCTGTACCCATATTTTGACTATTTTATTTATAATGTCTGTTTTGTTCACGCATCGTTGTAAATATAACGGAATTTGATAAGACTGTCGTACAAGTGAGAGGTTTAGCGCTATAAAACCAGGTTCAATCCACCATTTTCTACATTTGAAAATGCCTGTACCAAGTCAGGAATATGACAGTTGTTGTCCATTCGTTTGATGTGTTTTGTCATTTGATTTTGCCATGTGATTAGGGACTTTCCGATTGAATTTTCCTCGGAGTTCAGTATTTTTGTGATTTTACTTTTTGTACCACCCTGTCAAATTACAAAAAAAAGGATTCAATTCTTATAATTAAATTACATTTACCATACTTAAATTACGAGTTTGTTTTCTTATGCATTGTTGAAACGTTGTCATGGGGAGTACGTGCAGTCATAGATGTTGAAATTTATTGGAAAATACAATATGAATTTGGAATGCCTCGCGATTGTTAACTTTCTGCTAATCAAAATGATTGATCCTTAGGGTATATTTTTTAAATATGATTATCAAACAATAAATTCTCAAGAATTTTAATGAATGGAAACAAGGATGCTTCCAAATGTTTATAATCAGCTTTATATATCGGTGTAAACTTCTGAGTATGTGATAGGCTTAAGTTCTGTCATATTTACCTGTGTCAACCTTTCCTTTTACTTCACACATGTACGGCAATTTCGTATTGCAGTCTTCAGTTGAGCTTATTGTGCCTCCGTCAGAATAAGTGAGTTTATCACAAGTGTTTGAGGCAACCAAAGAACCTTTATACCAAAAATCCATCACTGTAAAATATTTTTAGTATAAATATAGCTATAATACATCGGTATCATATAATTACTTAAAGGGCATTAGCTGTCAAATTCATGTTCACCGAATTGACTCAAATTCTCATACTTGATTTATAACATACTAAAACGTATATTCAAATCACAATAAGTCTGAAATAAATAATTAACAATGCATGGTCTCGATAATATATATCAGCTTTTCGTGTGTATTTCAGTCTTGACGCCATCTAATTAACCATCGAGATGACCTCCGAAGACTGCCGACGGTCACATAACCCGATATAAACACAAACATAAATAAAAATAGGTAGCGACCTCGTGCAATTGGACTTTTCTAGGTCTGTTTGATTTCATGTTATAGGTTAAAAAAATAACAGGTTAATCATCGATTTTTACCTGTATAAGAATGATTTTTTGTGGATTGAATCAGTCAACAAAATGGTTCACCTTTGTTTCACTTTCAATGTTGACATTCTTTTGCTTTTAATGGCTGAACACGACTAATACATGCGTAACCAATCTCGAGCTAATGGGTTAAATTAAAGGTCACATGAATACGGATTCAATGAGGTCTAATTATTCACTTGCAAGTGAATAATTGATCAGGAATGTTTCTTAGCTTATTTTGACAAAATTGAACTGAACTTGCTGCAAAAAGCGAATTATTATCACTATTTCACTTTCATTAATGATTGAACAAAACAAAATCATCTTTGTATTTTTTTTATATCTCGTAGCTAATGCCCCAGTAACGTCAAGTTATTATATACCTTTAAACTGAAATCGGTTTATCAACTCGAAACAGACATTGAATTTATACGCCAATCATTGTCGTAACCCCATTTTCCCCGAATGTGACCTACCGAATTCGACTTCTAACCGGGTTTGTACTTACATGAGCAACCCGACGGGTGCCACATGTGGAGCAGGATCTGCTTACCCTTCCGGAGCACCTGAGATCACCCCCAGTTTTTGGTGGGGTTCGTGTTGCTCAGTTTTTGGTTTCCTATGTTGTGTTTTGTGTAATGTTGTTTCCTGTTGGTCTTTTTTTTAAGCCATGACGTTGTCAGTTTATTTTCGACTAATGAGTTTGAATGTCACTTTGGTATCTTTCGCCTCTTTTTTACTGAAGAATGTTCCCTAAAGTTTACTTTAACTTCTAAATGAGTGACCGAAAATATTCAAACTCATTTTCGACAATCACCTTGGTGACTATGAAAGTAACTTTGAAAACTTAAAACTTTTTAGCACTTTTAATGCAATATATAATGTTTGAAGGGTAATCAAAGAAATCATTATCTTATAAATATTTACATAGTACAGTTTACATGTGTCGACATAAATTGTCATTCTATTGTATTTGCAATATTTTATTGTTTAAAATCTAAGAGACTGCTAAAGTGGACCCATACTTGTGGTGTTGGATTGCTGTCTCATTAAAAAATAACCCATATTTCCTTTTATGGTAGTATGTTCGTTATTAAAGATGTAAGGCAACCCCGACTTTCTTGTAAAGTTGTGAAGTTATCTCAGTGGAGAAATCAGAGTCTTGTTATATCGATAATAATATATTGTTCATCTTTTTTATTGTAGAAATGTTGTGAAATGTTTAACTGTTGAACGAGTTTAATATACTATCAATATTTTCAATTGAAACATCATTGGCTTATGCGAATAGACTGAGATCACACCTAGCAATATATCTACTTGCGTTTAAATCCGTACTGTCGGTACTTTCGAGGATTTCTTTTTTTGAAATGTATGTTTGTATAATACGCTAGTATTTGGAAATCGATGAACAAAGTGCATAGTTGAATTTTTGTAGACTAAGAGAGAAAATAACATGTCCACCTGTTCTACAACTTTATTCGGGATACAATTTTTAAAAACGTTCTTTAATGAAAAACCTGTAGTCAATGCTTAAACAGAAAAGACACCTTTAGCCACCAGGAATAACCATTTCGTTTACTGAGCAGGCCCACAAAAAATCCTTCTTGTACATGCAAAACGGTGATTTAATTATATATTATCAATGTACGACATTAAATAAAACAAACTTGAAAAAATCGTCTTTACACGACTTCACGTGTATGTCTGTCTATCTATATTTATGTTTATATCGGGTTGTATGACAATCGTTTTTCGGAAATCATTCAGTAGATGGCGTCTAGTCTAAACACGCACGAAATGCTGATACATTACAACTAGTCCATGTATTTTAAATTGTTTCTTTTTGACTTTTGCACTTTGGATATGCGATTTAATATGTTATAATTTAAATCAAATATGAGAATTTGGATCAAATCGGTGAATATGAATCTTCCAGCTAATACCTATTTGACAGCATGTTGTTGCTGGTTGAATGTAATTTAATTGCTAGTATATCAGCATAGTATTGGAATTTACAAAGTCTATATCAAAATCAATCGACTACACATTGATGAAAAAACCCAAATTACCCAAAATTTTACCAATCCGCTTTTGCGTGATGTCTAATCACTTGATATAACTTATCAACGTATTGTATAGGAGTAACATGACGGGTGTCACATATGGAACAGGATCTGCTTACCCTTCCGGAGCACCTGAGATCACCCCCAGTTTTTGGTGGGGTTTGTGTTGCTCAGTCTTTGGTTTTCTATGTTGTGTTTTGTGAACTGTTGTTTGTCTGTCATTTTCTTTTTTAGCCATGGCGTTGTCAGTTTATTTTTGACTTATGAGTTTGAATGACACTTTGGTATCTTTCGCCTCTCTTGTTCATTAATTTAAAAGAATGTATAAAGTATTTTGATAATATAAATGGCTAAAAAATAACTTATTTGTATTTTATTTATCTCCACTGTCCTGTGAGACTTTTGATTCATCTACAACAAGAAATAAACAAAATATTTTTCTTGGTATGACTACCTAATTCTAACTACTAGTAAAAAAAGTCGTTGCTCAAGAATTCTTATTCAGCCGGAAAGAATAAAAAACATCCTGCTAAATTTCTTTTTGTTGTTCCAGTACTTACTAAAAATTTCGGAATTGGCAAACAAATTACTGTAATAATACTCTTCTGCAGCTACCAGGAAACTGTAATCGGATGAAGTCTTATTTTCTAGAATGTTCTCCGGTACATTCACTAGTGTTTCTCCTCTTGACTGGCAACTCGACTTTGCCTCGAAGAAGGTTGAAGGTTCGTTGATAAATTTGTAACATGACTCCCAGTAAATATTTCCAATGAAGCTATCAGGACAGAATCTTGATACTAAAATAAGAGACAATAGATGTTTTACACACAAAAAGAAATGTAAAGACGCATAAAGCAAGTATTATAGTTTTTTAAAGAACGTTACGTATTTAAATACTTTTGTATAACAATTGTTTTTGCATACATCTGATTAGTTGAGTATGCATAGAAATTAATTTTAGCTACAGACTCATATATATAAAATGAATCGTTGTTATTATCTCGTATATCGTACTAAAAAGCTAAAACTTGCCGCAATACTTTTTTAAGTAATGCAATGTAAGCTGAGATATATTTCATGCGTTATTTAAACTGAATGAATCCTGTGGTTTTTATGAGTGTCTCTCGTTGGTTGTTCAGTATCAAAAAGGTACACGTGGTTACTATGTACTATGTGCTATGGTCATTATTTGTATTCTTGTCTTCTATTTTTGCTTTTGTGCTTTATCTGTATGCCATTTTGTTTTTCTTTGTTGATAGATTTGTTTGGTTTTATAGTGATTAAGATTATAACACAATGTTGACTGCTGTACCCCTATTTTTGACATTTTTAACTATTATGTCTGTTTGTTTTGTTCGCACATTGTTGTCAATATAATGGAATTTTGACTTTCATACAAGTGAGAGGTTTACCTAGCTATAAAACCAGGTTTAATCCACCAGTTTCTAAATAAGGAAATTGCCTGTACCAAGTCAGGAATATGACAGTTGTTTTCCATTCGTTTGATGTGTTTGAGCTTTTCATTTTGACATTTGAGGGACTTTCCGTTTTGAATTTTCCTTGGAGTTCGGTATTTTTGTTATTTTACGTTTTACTCTGGGCAAGAACTCAGTTTTGCCAAATCTGTTGAAAAATTATCACTATTTTGTTTTGTGAAGCTAGTTCCTTATTATTTATTCTTTTGTTTTATAACATGACATATACATTTATACAGTGTACTATTTTATATTAAATCTACGAAATTGAAATTTTATGTATATGAATATAAGTGTGTTGTAATATTCCAAATAAGTCACATATTTGTGATTTATTTGAATACGATTTCAGTGCATTTTCATCTTTTAATAATACCATATATATATATGTATTTCGAACGAGAAAATAAACGGCCTGATTTATGTTCAAAACAATAAATGGAAACCAAATATCATGATAAACAGCAACAAACGACAACCACTGAATAACAGGCGCCTGATGTTTGCAAGAAAATCAAAGAAACAAACGAAAAGCAAACTTCCTCACGAACGCCTTTCTGTAGAATCATCCACGTGAAGCAAGAAAAAACACATTCAGAAATTAAAGGAGATTGTAACACGAATGGTAAATTTTCCTTTGATCTCCGATTGAGTTAACTTTAAGAGGAGTGTATTGTCATTGCACCATTCAATCCCGATGTTGATCACTTGTCATTTGAATATCAAAAAATGCCAGATGAAAAGGAAAACTTATCAAAGAATCAAAATATTACAAAATGTGAAAAAGAGTGACCAAACACGGATGAACTACAAATGCGCGACGATAATGTCCAACGAGTAACCGATCAACACGGATACACGCATTCGTCAACTACATTCTAGTATTTCTGTCACTCACGAGTAAAAATCTGGTAAAAAGTTGCATTCGAAGATGAATCATCAACATGAAAAAAGAAGGGATTGTGGCTTCGACATATAAAGCATATTCGTGGTAATCTGTGACCACAGAAAATACATCAACGTCTACAGTCATGAAAACGTCTGAAAAACTTTTGAGAGATGACTTCTCAACTTAACCAGTAAGAACCCTGGAAATAGCAGAAAATCCTAACAAGAAACGATCGCTCTGAGAAATAGTATCTAATGGAACATAGTACTAGTATTCCATATTTAAGTGTTGCTGGAATGTTGCTGCATAGAAGTTGAATGTCTAGGGCATTCGTCAGAGGCGGGATAATAAAACTCAATACACAAAAACGGTTTTCAGTTTTAAGACCATGCATTTATGTTTTAAATTCAACATACTTTGACTAACTGTGGGTTTAACAAGGTATCTTTGACAGTACATGAACTTTTGCTCACTACATGAACTAAAACGTGCAGTTTTGTTTGAATTGATACCGACACATTCTCCTGAGTTCAAATTTGGTTGGTCAGCATCCCACTGTATGTCTATTGACTGTGAGTTAGGACTGTAAAAAGTATAAGATAGGATCTACATAAAAATTATTACATCACATCAACAATTTGCTTGCTCAGACTTGGAGAAACGAAGGCAGTATACACTTAAAGATGATGGTGACTTTGTTTCTTATATTTTACCCTTTTATTTCCAGCAAATACTGTGACAATCGATTATAAGTGTTATTCTACGATAAACAACAAATATGCGGTTGCTTCTACTTCTACTTTGTAGTGACTGCCTTCAACACGTTGAAGTGTATGTCACGTTTACTATACGTGTGGCTTAGTGGAAACGTATATACAGTGAAATTTAATAATTTTAGAATTGTTAACAAAATTAATTCTAACATTTTTACATAGTGCACATTTTTATTTCATTTTTATTTATCTTTTTCATTTTTATTAAGATAAAACTATTTACTGACTATAGGTGTAGGTTGAGACAGCTGCATTAAACGACTCTACAGAGTTGCTCATCACAATGCCCAGAGGAAGGCTGTTCCAGGTTTTAATAATACGTGGAAAAATGATTGTTGGCGTATTTGTGTTATGCAGGATGGAATTTGGTATGAAAGTGTGTGCATGTTCCGGGACTGTCTGAGCGGTTGTATTAGTCTATCTGATTTTGTGATGACAATGAGTTGATATGAGCTTTTAAAAAACATGACAAGGCGCGCATCAGTTCTTCTTTGTGCAAGGTCTCTCCATTTTAGGTGATTTATCATGTCACTTACACTTGAGATGTATCTGTGTCGGTTAGTGAGAAATCATGCAGCCCTTCTTAGAAGATAGAAGCCAAAACAATTATTTTTTTAAGCAGTCGTTAAACCGTGAAAATAAGGTCAAAGACAGTGAACATGTCAGACGGAAACTTCGTATTATAAAGCATGTGTAAACAAGGTATGAAACATCGATGTTTTCAACCTTCTAGAACATTAAGCTTTCTACAAACAGTTTATGCAGTCGTCACCGCAGGATGAGCATCCCAATGTCTCGCATTCCGCTACTTTCGTCGCAGGCGACACAAATAAATTTACTACTAAACAGTTAAGTGTGTGCTTATTTAGAACAGAACTTAAAAACGATGTTCGTTCATCCCAGGATAATATTACATTATGTTAAACACTCGCTCAGCAAAGCTTGCTTTTCTTCCTGTTGCTTAAGTTCGTACATACTGAGCATGTGTTTTCACTCAAATAGTAATAAATTGTTGTCACAGATATGTCTTGTCCGTATGTAGTTTTGATAGTAAAATGCAAATAATGAAATTTAAATGGCTATACATTAACATGCAAACTATGCATATCATGCAAAGTCAATGAACTTTGACTGATGGTGCAGAGTCAAATAATCTTCATCTGAGATATTCTAATGGTGATATAACCGCATACCAAATATAATTGACTTATCATATGTATTTCCCCTAAAACATATTTCCCCTAAACATATTTCACACACTTTAACATTTAAAATGAGATGTGCCAATGTTTATACAAATGCATAATAAGTATCATTGACTTACAATACGTGGTTCGTCTTAAATTGACCTAATCACAAACTTTTAACATGTAAACTATGCAAAAGTTTTAAAGTCCATAAACCATAACTGTGGAGTGGGGGCTTTAGCCAAATAATGTCCATGGGTATGAGATGTGTTAATACTGAATCAACTGAATACCAAATGTCAATGACTTTCCATTAGTGGTGACCCTTATACTGAAAAAATGACAATTTTTGTTACGTTTAATCTAAGTTCAAGTTTTAAAGTCTTAAAGACCATGACTGAGGGGGCAGGCTGAAATATTATCCACGGAAATGAGATGTGCCATGCTGATACAACTGCAAGTATCACCTACTTTCCATTAGTGGTTCCCCTTAAGGTGGTATGGAAGTATAATAAAAAAAAATGATAGAATTTATATAGTATATATTGTGATATGCTCAAAAATATAATAGAAATTACAGGTCACCGAGCTTGATCTCAATTTACAGGCCATGAAAAAAATGACACATTTTGTATGGATTATACAGAGAAAAATCATCATAATGTGAATAGAAGTTAAACTGAATGATCGAATTGTTAAATTCAATATGAGAATATAGCTCTTATAAAAGGCTTTCAGAATATCAAAAGAAGAAATGGGGTCGCCGTACGTCTTTTCCTGCTATAACATAAAGTAGAAAATTTTGCTAAAGTACGTTACAGATTATATTTTTTCTGAGTTAACCCTCCTTAATACTCAATGTTTAAAACAATTGAAATCAAGCAAAAACTATTCTACTTTTGTAAAACTATGAGTGATAAAACTTAGATTCATTAATGTGTTCATTTAACTGAAAATTCATATCAGTTAGTTGTACTCCTGTATCGAAACTAGCTGATCTAATTGAAATTCTAGATCTTGTGTTCTGCTATTTTGAAATCCAAGATGGCGAAAGACACCCATACCACATTAAACTGACCTTATCACTAACTTACACAAATCGTTGACGCCGCCACCGGAAACAGCACGCCTAAGTTTCGGTTCCACTGCTTAGTACAGACGAGATAAAAAATCGAAAACTTGTTGAAAACTACTGAACATGGAATATTACAGAGTTCAGTGGATATTGCAGATTGTATGGAGCAATTACAGTTACCGTTTTTTCCCGTAGTAACGGTTAAACTGACGTCATGAGGAAATAGTACTCGATCTTTCAACCATGAACAAGGCCAAGGTGTGGTAGCTCTTGTCAGATAGATATTACCAGTGCAAGTTTTAGTTCTTATAAAATTATTGTGCTGGCGAAGACATGTTATCTGAAAAGTTATTAAATAACCTTACGCGTTAAAAGGGGACAGTCCGATAGTTGTCATCGGTGCTCCACTATGAAATAACTTCTTGTTCTTCAGTACCAATGAACTCCAAATCTCTGAAAATATGAATGATAATGAAAATTATGTTAAAAATGAGCAATCCAATGAATAAACTCGATAACTTGCAGCTTTTTGCCGGCCTCCCCCATGTTCAAATTGTAATTCCTTTGAAACAAGATTTTCAAAACAAAATTTTGAGTTTTTGAAACTTATCTTAGAAATGAAATTTGGCACTAGTAAACGATTTTCTAATATTTGTGTTTATTACATCAGGCAGGGAAAGACAAGTTATCGGGTGCATATAATATCATCTTTAAAATATAAATGACATTCTAATAGCGAACAGAGACTAGAGGCTCTAAAGAGCCTGTGTCGTCGCTCACCTAGGTCTAAGTGTATCTTAAACAATGGACACTCTCTAACATTGTAGACTTAAATAGAATTCATGACAAAAATCTCTTTTTTGTTGATCTTGTAATGCTTAGCATTTTTTCTGTTTACTGTTTCTCTCTATCTTCCTTAGTTTTTGCCCAAATCACAAAAGAGGGTAAAAGGTCATCATTTAAGGGCAATCACTCCTATAAAGAGTCTACCAACTATTTTGAAAAAATTTAACTTCTTTGTAGATCTTGTCTAAAGTTTCTATCTATCTTAGGCAAAAACGCCAAAAAATAGTAAATATCGTCATTAAAGAGCAAGAACTCCAATAACGATTCGACTAACGGTTTCGACCATGTCTGACCTTATTGTAGATCTTATCTAGCTTATCATTTTTACTATTTAAAGTGTCTATCTATCTATTATAGTTTTCAAGATAATAGGCAATATCACAAAAAATTGGTAAAAACCGTCATTAAAGGGCAATAATTCTAAACAGGAGTCGTCTGACGATTTTGGCCAGGTTGACTTATTTGTAGATCTTTCTTCCTGATCATTTTTGGTCTAAAAGGTTCTCTCTATCTATTATAGTTTTCAAGATAAAAGGCAAAAATTTTAAGAAATTTTTTTAAATTCATAATTTAAGGGCAATAATTTCTATAAAATGTCGTCTGACAGTTTTGACATAAATAGACAATATGAACAGCTCAACATTCTGAACATTTCTGCCCCTGTCAGATTTTCTTTATTTATAGCTGTTTTCAAAATAATGGACAAAACATGCATTTTACCCCTATGTTCTTTTTTATTCATGTCGGCCATCTTGGCTGGCAGGCGGGGTCACTATGGGCCCTATGGGCCAGGTGAGCTATAAGGTAAATAAAGCGGCAAAACAGGTCCACAAGAGTCCAATTGGGGAGCTACCATTTGATTTTTATGGGGAGGGGGGCTAGGATAAAATTTGAAAAAAGGGCAGGACAGGAGTTTTGAGTAAAAAAAAAGGCAGGATGGGCAACTTGGCAAAAAAAAAGGCAGGATGACAATTTATGTAAAAAAAATCAGCATAAACTAATAAAAAAAAGGCAGGACCGAATAGAGTGAAAAATAAAAAGGCAGGACAGAGATTACAACTAAAAAAAATTCGTAAGGGTTCCGCGGAACCCAGTGTCTCGCCTACTTTTGGTGTTAATCGCAGGCTCAACAAAAATGAGGAAAAAAATTAATAAAAATATTCCCCTCTATACTATGTTTTGATTGTAAGTAGCTTCTGTCCAAGTTTGGTAAAAATCCAGGATAATTTATGAATCTAATAAATGTTTTAAAAACTTAAACTGCAGAATGTATGTAATGTTGACTGGAAGAAAAACTAAGTCCATTTATAAGTAAAATACAGAAAAAATGGAACAAAATTTTATCAAAATTTCCTTCTAGATACTAGCTTTTGATCATAAACAAGCTTCTGTCCAAGTGTGGTACAAATCCAGGATAGTTTAAGAAAGTTGTTAAAATTTTAAAAACTTTAACCACAGAGTGAATGTAATGTTAACTGGCAGACAAACTAAGTCCATTTATAAGTAAAATACGGAAAAATGGAATTTTTTTTTTACAAAATTTACTTCTGGATACTATCTTATGATCATAAACAAGCTTCTTTCCAAGTTTGGTATAAATCCAGGATAGTTTAAGAAAGTTATTAAAATTTCAAAAACTTTAACCACAGAGTGAATGTAATGTTTCCTGGCAGAAAAACTTAAGTCCATTTATAAGTAAAATACGGAAAAATGGATTTTTTTTTTACAAAATTTACTTCTGGATACTATCTTATGATCATAAACAAGCTTCTTTCCAAGTTTGGTAGAAATCTAGGATAGTTTAAGAAAGTTATTGAAATTTTAAAAACTTTAACCACAGAGTGAATGTAATGTTAACTGGCAGAAAAACTAAGTCCACTTACAAGTAAAATACGGAAAAAATGGAATTTTTTTTTTACAAAATTTACTTTTGAATATAATCTTATGATCAGAAACAAGCTTCTGTCCAAGTTTGGTAGAAATCCAGGATAGTTTAAGAAAGTTATTAAAATTTCAAAAACTTTAACCACAGAGTGAATATTTGTGGACGCCGCCGACGACGACGACGACGACGACGCCGACGCCGACGGAATGTAGGATCGCTATGTCTCGCTTTTTCGACAAAAGTCGAAGGCTCGACAAAAATGCAGGACCAAATTTTTCATCCTAGCCCCCCATAAAAATCAAATGGTAGCTCCCTTATGCCAAAATGAATGGATAAAAAAATAATCCTCAGTAGGAGCAATCCTCTCGCAGCAACATGGTCAGCGTATTTGATCTTTCACAATTTAAAGATAAAATGTTTAACAAGATAATCTCACTCATGTCGACCTACCATTTGTTATTCTTAACCCCGTATTTTTCCGTAAAGCAGAAACGTAAAAAAGACTTGAAAGGCATAGCTGTTTTGTATTTAAATCTTAACCCTTGTTCGCGGTCAGCAGGTATTTGCAAGAGTTGTGGAAACATACGTCGTTTAAATTGCAAACAAATACTACATACAAAAATATTCTGCAATTTAAACTTGTAAAAGCTACATATATACAGAGTGCCTTCAACAATGTAAATACGAATAAAAAGTGTATGTGGGAGTCATAAACGTTGCACAAACGTATGAATGGCCATCGTCGTGACAATGGTTTGAAAAATTCCCTACACTCAGTCCACAGGCAATTGTCTCTGATTTTTTTTTTTACCTATATACTTTAATATAACACAAGGTACATAACTCACATATTTGAGAAATGTGTTATATTAAAGTATATAGGTAAAAATAATCCAGAGACAAGTGCCTATGACTCAGTCGACATAATTGCTGATGCTATATTATGTTTCATGTTTTTGATAATATTTCTTTCTCAGGAAAAAGCTATTTTACTTCATCTATTATGTAGAAAATTAAAACAAAATTTCAATAGAACTAGTGAAAAAAACAACATATAATTGTAGTTAGAAATTATGTAATAAAAATGTCACTTTACTGCCTTCAATTCAGATAAGCATTAAGTATAAATATTACTCATTCAATTTAAAGAAAAAAGTTTTTCCTGCTTGAAAAATATGATGAGCCCCCTCCACCCCAAAAATAATCTCCATTTCAGTGTATGTGTTTGTTTTCATTTCCTTGATTTTTCCCCCCATTTAAGCAATTAAAACACCAACCTTTCTCTGTAAATGTAAATATTCTCTGGGTTTGTGTTTCATATGATAAAGTTTCATTCCATGCCAAGGGTGTACCAATCAAATCTTTACACATTTGTTCTCCTTCCTTCCAAGTGACGGCTCTCGGTAGACGTTTAACACATACTCCAAACCCACTATGTGATCTGTAGACTTTATCCCATGTACTTGGACAGTATTGAGCTTTAACTTCTACTAACACTGGCAATATAAATAAATTAATAGAAATACGAGAAAAAAAATATTATCTAACGTTAAGGAGACGACCATTTGATAGGGGGAGGGGATGAATTGATCATTTATTTTCATTTGTTGCTACTCATGTTTATTTTTTATTCCGTGCGTACATTTATTTTCACTTTTGTACACATTTTTTACCTGAATTTTGTGTTGCAGAATTATCATTTTCATACTGTTTTGTGTAAAGTTATTTATTTTCAGTTCTTACCAGACCAAGTTATTCATTTTCATGGATATAGTTTTATCGATGCGTTATTTCAACATAATTTCATTGATTTGTCACTGCTCAGCTGGGACTAATACTGAATTTATCTATTAATCACAGTTCTCAGTGTGAAATATAGGGTCATCCTTGCTGAAAATATAATTTTCGTCGCACAGCTATCAAACATGTATTTTTCCAAACATTAAATCAAATAAGGACGTTTTGATTCTCAGAATGAACTTACTGACAAGAATGACTGTTATATCATATTTTTTTCTAACGAGGGTGCTCAAAATTAATAATACTTACATAATAATAAACTGATTAAAAACATTTTCATCTGCAAGAAAATAAATATCAATTTTAAAGAGTTACAAAAAAACAAATGTGTGAATAATAGTAATCAGGGATAATAGATAAATGGTTTAATGGCAAAAGTGTTTTATTTTATCCTTGACATTTATAAACCTGAATAATCTGGATTTGGAATATATCTATTTTATTAACAGTAAGCATTTCAATTATTCTAGTAGTACTAGTTGGAGCCAAGACCAGAATATCCAGCTAGAATATACCGTCTGCAATGCACCATTTTTATCAAATAAACAATTTACAAACTTGTTTATGGTCTCTGTGCTTCAATGCTTTTCAATATTTAATATATATATACGGCTGTCAGAACTTTGACCTGTCAGGTTCAGAAGAGATGATTTTTGTAAAAGTTACCACACGAATGATGACGACATACCAAGAACACTAAGTGATGGTAAAATGTAACATCGAGCCCTTTAGTCCAGCTCAGCTAATAATTATTTTAAAAGTTGTTAAACGGCATGTACTGCTATTTATAGAGAAGCTCTATTTTAGTTATATTGCTATACTTGTCAAGCCAATTTCTCAAATATAGTTTAAAAGGCCTGCATAGAGATGTACTTAGGGGAAAAAAAAGGGGGGGGTGTCACAGTAAACTCTGGTATGCTTGTAACAATTATTGTTGTTAAACAAGTCTGTATTGAGTCCGTCATTGCTTTCTTTGTACACAAATGATTTATCTAAACAAAATAAAACCTGTGATCATGTCATGTTGAATAATGAAAAAAGTATAACTCGTTATAACGATTTAGCTAAGTCGTTATAACGAGTAAAAATTAAAAAAAACACAATTTTCCCTGACACTAACCGTCTTTCGTACTATTGGACTGTGGAAACTGCTAGGCAAACGGAGTGGTGATTATTTGGGTAAACATGGAGTGGTTTTTAACGAATTTGGAAAATATTGTAAGACTATACTTTATTCTTTGGTTCATCATATTCTTTAAGCTGTTAAATATTTAAATATTGAGGAATATTTTTTAAATAATCTCATAAATCTGGAACCTTTACATTTGTAATAAGTCAGTTAGCTAAGAAAGTCAGTAAGGTTATGTTTAACATAACGAAAACGCTCCGCTGAACTGAATGTATTTTCTCATACGACGAAAATGGTCGATGCATGTGTTAGACCTGTCCTACTTTTTAGCATTCAATGTGGGGTAAATATTCATTCTTTAGAATCTAAATGCTATTAGTTTTTTTTATCAAATAAGTTACAAATAAACTATGCAAAAAGAAATGTTTTGGTTGTGACTCAAAATGCATCAAATACTTGTTTGGCAGTTTTATCAGAACTCTGATTACTTCCATTATCTTAACCGAGTAATCAGTCAGTAATTGGATAAGGTGTCATCTGCTCTTGGCAAACGATACTGAATGCTCAGAAAAGGGAAAGTTTCTGTAATATGCTAAAAAATACTTATAACAGAATTAGTTTCGGACATGTCTGGGATAATCGACATTCATTATCTAAAAGAAGACTCGCAACATATCGTCGTGTGAATCTTATAATGATGTATTTCCCATTTGGTAATATTGGTAAAAACTTAAATTAAAGTTTAAAAGTGCAATATCATAAATAGTTGACTGAGACATATACAGTTATATAGGAATCGCGAATTTACGTACATGAAGAGTAACTCTTTGTTCGATTGTTTTTTTAATAGACAAACAACTTAAATAAATAAATCATCCCCTTTTCTGGAGATAGACCACTACACTACAAACAATGTGGTTTTAGAAATTTATCCCTATATTTCTATTTTCAAATGTGTAATATTCCCAATTCTGGACTACTGGATTTTATAAGAATTGCTCATAGATTGAGTTCAAACCATGCAAACAATATAAGCATAGTACTACTAAGAGGATTTTGATAACAATTTTCAGAATAAAAACACCTGAAAAATTGTGGAGATACACCACCATAAAAATATACTTACTAGATGAATAAGCCAATGGGAGTGTGGTGATAGAACAGTGTAGCTCTGACAGCTCTAAGATTCACACGACGCTATGTCAAAGTTAAGAAATTGGAGAAAAAATTGTGTATTTTCATTTTTGGAAAGTTAAAATTTCTTTGCTTGACAGTTCAAAGGGGCATAAGCTTCAATTCAGACATACAATAAAAGTATGATTTTTTTCAAACATTGAGTTCGCTATCAGATGTCAGTTTGTTTCAGTTTCGTCAAAATAATTTACAGAAACATTGTGGATGTATTATTGGCTTGCATGTCAATAAGCATCCACATTCATGCCACCTTTGATTTAACCTTTTTTGGAGATGGGTTGCGCATTGTTCATCAAATCAGGAATATGACCGTTGTTTTCCATTCGTTTGATGTGTTTGAGCTTTTGATTTTGCCATTTGGTAAAGGACTTTCAGTCTTATATTTTCCTTGGAGTTCGGTATTTTTGCTATTTTACTTTTTTTCTAAGAATGTACAGTGATTGAAACAAAGTTAGCTGAAAATGTGATACTAGGGAAGGCAGCAGCAGAAAGGCTGCTTTGATCATTAATTGGAACCGCCAAAAATCAGTCTTATACAGTTTATGAATAAATATTTTACATTTAGTTTTAATTTATATTTTCTATCTATGAAATGAGATCAAACCGACCTGGGGAAATCGAGCTTATTCTGTTGCACTTGCTTACCTGTCTATTCGTATTTTATGTTTACCTGCCTGTTTATATTTATGATTATAAGGGGTCACATGTCTATCGACATATATTTCATATGCTACTTTCATAGCAGACTTTGCTTTAGTGCCTGAAATGATTTTATAGTGCCTGACAATATTTGTGAGGTAGACGAATTGGGCCATATAATGATCCAATTGACTCTGTATGTACAAAAATAAGCAGATCGATCATATTTTTACCCTTTAACTCGTTGCATACCTTCGAGTTAAATTGGTTTCTGAAGATTGCGCTATTCTTATATTGTCGAAATTTTCTGTAAAATGAAAATTTTGTGAAAAATTAGAACTTGCAAATCGAACCATAAATGCCTTTTGTTTCATTGATAAAAAATAACATGGACTGGTTCAGTGTCTTGTTATATGGTCAATTAAAATTACTACTTGATAGTCAATTAAAATTACTGTACACTTGTGTGAAACAAGAAATTCAATGTTTTCATATATATTGACATACTTTTAAGAACTCTCATTAGCGTATTTAAAGTCATATGAAATGAGTATCTTGAAATAATAATGTAAAGGAAATTATTGAACTAATGTATGTATATATACTTAACTGACCTCTATCACGGCTGTCATTCGATATATCGAGAAAAATTATCGTGAAAGAATAAGTAACGGTGGTCAAGTATTGCGGTTAAATCGTGAAAGATCTGGTATAGGATCGTGAATGAAATATTACCGAGAAAACACATGCAACGGCAATAAATAATCTAATTTAATCAATAATAATGACAAATATTGGAAAAATATAACTGTCCGTCAAAACGGTTCAACATAATAATCAGTATCCGAGAAAAATCAAGACTTAAAAGTACACCCTTTTTACAAAACAACAAAAGGCAGATTGCTCTTCGAAATTTCAGAGAAATAAAAATGTAAACAAACATGATTTTTTTTCCAAATTTTTAATGCATAAACTACTTTTCTCGTAGAAATATCGTTCAGTATTACTGTTTAAAATAGTTCTTAAAGTTATTTTGATTTAGTTTATTCAGAAACTTTGCAAAAACGGTATTATTTGTAAAAAAATGAAATTTCTGATCGTGAAAGATCGGGTACCGCATTTTGATGATCGTGAAAAGGATCGTGAAAGATCTATTTTCGCTAATTCGTTATTGCAAAAAATCCACGAAAACGATCAACCCTTTCTTTAAACAAGTGATAATTTATATTTGAAAATGGTATATCAAAAGATTCGATTTGCATGACTTAATCCGCTTCACTTTTGCTTGTGAATAGGTCTATGATGGTTCAATGCCATTGGATCTGATTATTTGATAATACCACATAATTTGGGATCTAGCAGCATACAATACAGACATACAACACAACTTAATTTAACGTTCAAACACACTTACAATTAAATCAAACAAAGACGCCAACAAAAAAGTGTTTGTAGTTGTTAATACAGTCATTTTAGTAAAGCATAATTACGGAGCCCCTTAAGTGTGATGTAAATATAAGTATTTTCGTTTGCCGGAGATTTAATCTCGTGTGCATCAGTTTGAAAGTCGTGCTAGCATTAGTTTTTGAAAGTTGTGCGCACCAGTTTTTGAAAGTTATGAGCACCAGTTTTCATATATCGTGCGCACGAGATTAAAAGTCGTGTGCACGAGATTTAAAGTCGTGCGCACGATTTTTCAAACTAGTGCGCACCAGATTAAATCTAAGACGGGACGGGACGTATTATGGTATACCTTTGAGCAGTTTTCATGAAACTTTGGTGAATTGTTTATATATATTTACATAAGTTTCCTTTCGATTTTTAGTTATGGAACTTTATTCGTTAAAAAATCGTCGAAAACTGTCCATTTTTCAAACTTTGGACGGTTATAGAACTTCATTTAAAGCTAACAGACGAGCTAAAAGGGCGAAGGGCGTATTATACGCTCATGGCGCAGCTCTTTATTTACATTTATTACGAATCCAAAATATTATATAATCGACCAAAAATATTTCATTCAGAGAAAATTTTGCCTGCTAATTAAAACTTACATGTTTTATTGTCGGAGTATACCGAACGTAACCTTAATATACAAAGATTCATGGAGCACGTGAAAAAATAAGTGAGATGATAAACATGCAATAGAGCGATGATTATTTTTTTTTTCATGCATTTCTATTTGTTAATTAAATTTTGTCATAACAGTTGGTTACCGTAAATTATCAATTTTGATGTATCAAACATTTTCTTTCCGAACCAATTTACACTATTTATATACCTATATGGAGTTATTTCCTTTCAGAACGATAGGTCATTCT